TCCCTTACAAAAAAATTATCAAAGAAAAATATCAATTTTAGGAATCTTGCTGAGGAAAATATCATTTTTTACAGTGAAGGAGCCATTTCCGACCCTATAAATCATATATATTCTTGATCAGCATTAACAGGCGAATCGTTCTAGCCATCTCAGGAAGCAAAAGAACCATTTTAAATTTTTTCTAAAAAATTTAAGGGGTTGCATCGTCAAAATGTGCAAAAATTAAAAAAAATATTTTAATACCTTAAAAAGGAAAATTTGGTATGCAGAATTGTTAAGCGCCAAACAACTAATTCAGAACCGCTTTCCGAATCGAAATTAAGGCATTTTTGACAAAGCTATGCGATTTTTAAACTTTGGTTGTTCCAAAAAATATGATATAGAAAAATCCCTTACAAAAAAATTATCAAAGAAAAATATCAATTTTAGGAATCTTGCTGAGGAAAATATCATTTTTACAGTGAAGGAGCCATTTCCGACCCTATAAATCATATATATTCTTGATCAGCATTAACAGGCGAATCGTTCTAGCCATCTCAGGAAGCAAAAGAACCATTTTAAATTTTTTCTAAAAAATTTAAGGGTTGCATCGTCAAAATGTGCAAAAATTAAAAAAAATATTTTAATACCTTAAAAAGGAAAATTTGGTATGCAGAATTGTTAAGCGCCAAACAACTAATTCAGAACCGCTTTCCGAATCGAAATTAAGGCATTTTTGACAAAGCTATGCGATTTTTAAACTTTGGTTGTTCCAAAAAATATGATATAGAAAAATCCCTTACAAAAAATTATCAAAGAAAAATATCAATTTTAGGAATCTTGCTGAGGAAAATATCATTTTTACAGTGAAGGAGCCATTTCCGACCCTATAAATCATATATATTCTTGATCAGCATTAACAGGCGAATCGTTCTAGCCATCTCAGGAAGCAAAAAACCATTTTAAATTTTTCTAAAAAATTAAGGGTTGCATCGTCAAAATGTGCAAAAATTAAAAAAAATATTTTAATACCTTAAAAAGGAAAATTTGGTATGCAGAATTGTTAAGCGCCAAACAACTAATTCAGAACCGCTTTCCGAATCGAAATTAAGGCATTTTTGACAAAGCTATGCGATTTTTAAACTTTGGTTGTTCCAAAAAATATGATATAGAAAATCCCTTACAAAAAATTATCAAAGAAAAATATCAATTTTAGGAATCTTGCTGAGGAAAATATCATTTTTACAGTGAAGGAGCCATTTCCGACCCTATAAATCATATATATTCTGATCAGCATTAACAGGCGAATCGTTCTAGCCATCTCAGGAAGCAAAAGAACCATTTTAAATTTTTTCTAAAAAATTTAAGGGTTGCATCGTCAAAATGTGCAAAAATTAAAAAAATATTTTAATACCTTAAAAAGGAAAATTTGGTATGCAGAATTGTTAAGCGCCAAACAACTAATTCAGAACCGCTTTCCGAATCGAAATTAAGGCATTTTGACAAAGCTATGCGATTTTTAAACTTTGGTTGTTCCAAAAATATGATATAGAAAAATCCCTTACAAAAAATTATCAAAGAAAAATATCAATTTTAGGAATCTTGCTGAGGAAAATATCATTTTTTACAGTGAAGGAGCCATTTCCGACCCTATAAATCATATATATTCTTGATCAGCATTAACAGGCGAATCGTTCTAGCCATCTCAGGAAGCAAAAGAACCATTTTAAATTTTTTCTAAAAAATTTAAGGGGTTGCATCGTCAAAATGTGCAAAAATTAAAAAAAATATTTTAATACCTTAAAAAGGAAAATTTGGTATGCAGAATTGTTAAGCGCCAAACAACTAATTCAGAACCCTTTCCGAATCGAAATTAAGGCATTTTGACAAAGCTATGCGATTTTTAAACTTTGGTTGTTCCAAAAAATATGATATAGAAAAATCCCTTACAAAAAAATTATCAAAGAAAAATATCAATTTTAGGAATCTTGCTGAGGAAAATATCATTTTTACAGTGAAGGAGCCATTTCCGACCCTATAAATCATATATATTCTTGATCAGCATTAACAGGCGAATCGTTCTAGCCATCTCAGGAAGCAAAAGAACCATTTTAAATTTTTCTAAAAAATTTAAGGGGTTGCATCGTCAAAATGTGCAAAAATTAAAAAAATATTTTAATACCTTAAAAAGGAAAATTTGGTATGCAGAATTGTTAAGCGCCAAACAACTAATTCAGAACCCTTTCCGAATCGAAATTAAGGCATTTTTGACAAAGCTATGCGATTTTTAAACTTTGGTTGTTCCAAAAAATATGATATAGAAAAATCCCTTACAAAAAAATTATCAAAGAAAAATATCAATTTTAGGAATCTTGCTGAGGAAAATATCATTTTTTACAGTGAAGGAGCCATTTCCGACCCTATAAATCATATATATTCTTGATCAGCATTAACAGGCGAATCGTTCTAGCCATCTCAGGAAGCAAAAGAACCATTTTAAATTTTTCTAAAAATTTAAGGGTTGCATCGTCAAAATGTGCAAAAATTAAAAAAATATTTTAATACCTTAAAAGGAAATTTGGTATGCAGAATTGTTAAGCGCCAAACAACTAATTCAGAACCGCTTTCCGAATCGAAATTAAGGCATTTTGACAAAGCTATGCGATTTTTAAACTTTGGTTGTTCCAAAAAATATGATATAGAAAAATCCTTACAAAAAATTATCAAAGAAAAATATCAATTTTAGGAATCTTGCTGAGGAAAATATCATTTTTACAGTGAAGGAGCCATTTCCGACCCTATAAATCATATATATTCTTGATCAGCATTAACAGGCGAATCGTTCTAGCCATCTCAGGAAGCAAAAGAACCATTTTAAATTTTTTCTAAAAAATTTAAGGGGTTGCATCGTCAAAATGTGCAAAAATTAAAAAAATATTTTAATACCTTAAAAAGGAAAATTTGGTATGCAGAATTGTTAAGCGCCAAACAACTAATTCAGAACCGCTTTCCGAATCGAAATTAAGGCATTTTTGACAAAGCTATGCGATTTTTAAACTTTGGTTGTTCCAAAAATATGATATAGAAAAATCCCTTACAAAAAAATTATCAAAGAAAAATATCAATTTTAGGAATCTTGCTGAGGAAAATATCATTTTTTACAGTGAAGGAGCCATTTCCGACCCTATAAATCATATATATTCTTGATCAGCATTAACAGGCGAATCGTTCTAGCCATCTCAGGAAGCAAAAGAACCATTTTAAATTTTTCTAAAAAATTTAAGGGGTTGCATCGTCAAAATGTGCAAAAATTAAAAAAAATATTTTAATACCTTAAAAAGGAAAATTTGGTATGCAGAATTGTTAAGCGCCAAACAACTAATTCAGAACCGCTTTCCGAATCGAAATTAAGGCATTTTGACAAAGCTATGCGATTTTTAAACTTTGGTTGTTCCAAAAAATATGATATAGAAAAATCCCTTACAAAAAAATTATCAAAGAAAAATATCAATTTTAGGAATCTTGCTGAGGAAAATATCATTTTTTACAGTGAAGGAGCCATTTCCGACCCTATAAATCATATATATTCTTGATCAGCATTAACAGGCGAATCGTTCTAGCCATCTCAGGAAGCAAAAGAACCATTTTAAATTTTTTCTAAAAAATTTAAGGGGTTGCATCGTCAAAATGTGCAAAAATTAAAAAAAATATTTTAATACCTTAAAAAGGAAAATTTGGTATGCAGAATTGTTAAGCGCCAAACAACTAATTCAGAACCGCTTTCCGAATCGAAATTAAGGCATTTTTGACAAAGCTATGCGATTTTTAAACTTTGGTTGTTCCAAAAAATATGATATAGAAAAATCCCTTACAAAAAAATTATCAAAGAAAAATATCAATTTTAGGAATCTTGCTGAGGAAAATATCATTTTGTACAGTGAAGGAGCCATTTCCGACCCTATAAATCATATATATTCTTGATCAGCATTAACAGGCGAATCGTTCTAGCCATCTCAGGAAGCAAAAGAACCATTTTAAATTTTTTCTAAAAAATTTAAGGGGTTGCATCGTCAAAATGTGCAAAAATTAAAAAAAATATTTTAATATCTTAAAAAGGAAAATTTGGTATGCAGAATTGTTAAGCGCCAAACAACTAACTCAGAACCGCTTTCCGAATTGAAATGTTTTATTACGTATATATATTAATGTTAATTTATATATCCTTATGTATTTTTTTCTGTTTGTTTTTGAACATTACATTTGTTTTTACATAAACTTTTTATATGAAATTTAAGTGTGTACTCCCTTGTGGGGGGGGTAAATGTATGTAGTTTCGGGAAAATCCGTGAGTTTCATATTTGAGAATATTGAGAATTTTAGGTTTTTCTATTCTTCCAAACCATAATTAAGTTGCAATGCAGATGCATTCGTAAATCTAATTGTTGGACCATTCGTGTAATATTTTAACATGCTATGCTGGATTAGATCTATGAAGTTATGTATTTCATGGATACTGGTGATCAATCATTCAAATAAATGCATTTTGAACGAATGAAGATGTTATTTTTGGTTTATCAATTATCAATGGTCACATACATTCCAACTTGTATTTAAAATCTTAAATAATAAATAATCAAATTAGGAAATTTATGCTTTCTTTTAGTTACGATCAATTTAAACTGATTCAATTGCAATTTGCAAGGGTATAGAAACTTCGGCTTACCGAATTCAACTTCCTTTCTTGCGTATTTATATCCTTTTAATTAAATTGTTTCTTATTTTTTATTATAATTATTTTATCTGATTGTAAGCGTTTCTCTTGGAAAGTAAATTTATTTAAGTCAAGTTATGTATGAAATATGATGAATTTTTAAGAAAAACTCTCTTGAAGTTATATTAAAAAGTTAGCAAAACAACCCAATTGACTTGAGTAGACATTTTTAATTGCAAACTATTTATTTCATATTTAAACATTAATTCTCTTGAGCGGACACTGCTGCCTTAAGTCGGAATTAAATTAAATTACATTGTGAGTGACTCTACAAAAGAAGAGCGTATAATATTCACGGATTTCCCCCTAAAACGGGATGCATTTCTCCTCTATGGTGCATGGGTTGGGTGCGTCATGGTTAACTACTTGTAGACAGTTTGGAGAAGTGGTCGCCTCCGCTGATCCAATGGCTTGTAGGCATGCTGGTAGACACTGGCCAGGCGCCAGTGTTCCGGATACCCGCCCTGGCCCGCTCCGCCGGCCTGGCTTTGGAACGGCGGCACCAGCGTATCGATATCGTAGTTCTTCTTGGAATATGGCTGTCGGGGACGTGGCACCACCAGGACCCTTGCTCCTCCGCCTCCGCCTCCGCCGCCGCCGCAGGGTGACTCCACTCCCACAAAATCCCCGGAAGCATTATGCTTGGGCACGCCGGCCCGAAAGGCTGCCTTGCTGGTCAGGCAGTGACCATGACCATGACCATGTCCATGCCCATGACCATGGCCAAAGGCCGGGGGACAGCAGCGCGGAGCGGGACCTACCTTGTGGCAGAGACGGCGGGCCGGACGTCGGAGCAGGACGTCCCGCTTGCAGGGTGGTCCGCCCGAGGGCCTGCAGTCCATCGGTTGGCAATCCTGCCCAGAATCCGGACCCAAGTACTTCTCCCGCAGCGCCTGGTAGGTCTTGTCGCCCAGCAGAGGCGACGACTGGTACTGCTTGGCCAGGCGATCGGGCATTCCCCGTCCGGGCAGCTCGGCCAAGTTCCCGAAGCTCACTCCACCGCCACCGCCACCGCCTCCGGAGCCCAATCCTGGCCGGCGGCAATGTGAGGCACTCGAGTCCCGGGACACACTGCGAGCCCTTTGGCGTGCCGGCGGCGAGTAGTCGCAGGCACAGGGATCCTCGCGGTCCAGTCGGGCGCCACCAAAGTCCGTTCGCCGCCGCAGGATGTCCTTGTCGAAGAAGTCCGCCTCACCCAGCGTGCTGGTGAAGACGCCAGCAGATCTACCCAGATCTGCGGACTGCTCCTCGCGCGGTGTCTTCACGCAGGTGAAGACCGCCGGACCGGCGGAGTCATTGGAGCCATCAATGTGCCGGGCCAGGCGCGGTTCGTCCGATGGATTCGCCGGCTTAAAGTCCCAGCAAATGGCCAGATCCATGGGTCCCATTTTCTTGGCCGGCGCTGAGCCAACACCACGGAAGGGATCACCGCCGCCCAGGGCTTTGGGCACTATGCCACCGCCGGTCTTCGGGCGGAACACCTTCATCTTGGTGCAGTGCGTCGGACCGGCATTGTGCGTCTTCACGCCCACACCGGTGGCAATGGGATCAATGTCCAGCGAGAGGCCGGCATGGCCGCCAGAGATTTGCGCCCGCCGGAAGGCCAGATCCGCCACGCAGTCCGGCAGCGGCTGATGGTCCAAGTTGTCCTGATGCATCCGCTTGGCCAGCTCGAAGTTGGCATAGGCCGGCACCACCGGCGACGGACACCGCTCGTTGGGCTTCTCCGTGATCGAGTGCAGCGGCATCTTCTTGATCAGATCCGGATCGGGGTCGTAGCCGCGGCCGGGCGGCGTTGCTGCCACTGTGGGCAGTGAGATGAGATCCTTGCCGGGATCGAATCCTGTCAGGCTAAGTTCGCTGCTCCGTTCCAAATGATCCGAGTAGCGATTTTGGGCCGCTGCCAAGGCAGGAAACTGTCGTCCTGCCGCCGATCCAAGCTGTTCCCGGTACTTGATGGGTTGCGTTTCCCTGGTGTCCAAGGTGAGGCGACTCAGAGGCACCGGCTCCACTGGGTTCCGGTTTAGATCCAACAGCTCCTGATGCGTGGGCAGCCGGAATTGGGGCTCCGTCAGATCGCCCGGAGTGTAGGTGAGATCCGGAATGGCTGCTTGCGACATGGTTCAATGGGTTTTTTGTGGATGTGGCTTTCACTTTACAATAACAGGAGGTGCAGTCAAGGACCAGAGATCAGGATGGAAATGGAAATGGAGATGAGATGCCGATGAGAATGAGTTATGTACAGATGGATTTTTGGTAAAGTTTTTAAAATTCAGTCATAAAAGAGAATTTCTCAATGCCAAGTTAAAAACGTAACACTAACAGAGAGTTAGCAAACTTTAACTTGAGATTGAGAAAACAGGCTCAAATTATAATAATATAAAAGTACAAATAAGTTTAGATTTTAATCTAAATTTAAGGCATTCAAAAAAGTAAAAGGTATGCAATATTATTTCCAATATACACAATTATTTCTTGATAAGATTGTTAATTAATAAACTATTTCTAGTAAAGACTGTTAATTAAATAAATCAATATGAAGCTTGTATGAAAATGGTTAAGGCGATGTTTTAATGAAGATGCTTGTGATTTCCTTTACTATAAGTTATGGAATAAAATATGACTGATTGATGATAACTTTTGAATATTGTTTACTTTATTACCAAATGGGATGGACCACTGAAACCTAAAGCGACTCACCTTAATGCTGGGTCTCCTGCTGGCCGCAGTCTAGGATAGAAATCGAGATTTAGCTTTTTTTTTAAATATTTTAGATTTACCAGTAGTACTTATTATATTTCTCAGCTCCTTTTTTATACCCTTTTTTCAGTTTTAGGGGCTGCAGGTGTCCATTATTAGTGGGGAAACGACCTTGACGACTCCTTTGTGGAGGCAACTGGCAATCCTTGAGGCGCCCTTAAACTGCAAAACAAAAAAAGAACTCGAGGGGTTAACGTGGGTTAAGAGCTTAGCCAGGAGACTCGATAGACACCTGTTAGGAAAACCCTCCCGGCGTGTCTCGAGTAATTCCCTTATTTATGGTCCCCGGACAAACAAACCAATTGATAAAAAAAAGCCCACCCCGGAAACCATAACTGGAATGAGGAGGAGGCGGAACAACCCCGGAAAAGGAGCCAATTACACGGCGTAATCTCTGTGCCGGAACATGTGTAGAAACGCATTTGTCTAATTCCACTTAATGCCTTGTTTGTGTTTCAGTCCTGTGTTTGCCCTTCGAAAGTTAAAGCCAGAGGAGGCGCGTTAAAAAACTGGACAATCCCTGGATATAAACGCTCCGATCTAGTGTCATTTATCAGGGGGATTTATCCCACAGAAGGCAGGTAGTCATAGCTGCCAGGACAATATGTCTTCAATTCTTGAAAATTATATAATTTGTTATTAATGAGAGTATAGAAAATTATTTAGAAAAGTCAAAGTAAAATAAAGGGTATTTTAAAGATATATGTATATAGGAAGTATCTATTAACAATAAGTAACCTGATCAGTAAGTATCAATGAACATTAAGTAACTATGATTAGTAAGTAACTATAATCAGTAATTAAGTGTGAACAGTAAGTAACTCTGAACACTAAGTAATTTTGACCAGTAAGTAAGTATGATCAGTAAGTACCTCTAAACACTAAGTAATTTTGACCAGTAAGTAACTCTGATCAGTAAGTATCAATGGACATTAAGTAACTATGATTAGTAAATAAATATGATCAGTTATTAACTCTGAACAGTAAGTATCTATGATCAGTAATTAACTCTGAACAGTAAGTAAGTATCTATGACCAGTAAGTATCAATGATCAGTAAGTATCTATGATCAGTATGTATGTATGTATGATCACTTACTTAATTTGAACACTAATAAACAATGACTTGCAACTTTGTAACACAACACATGTCCGAAACCTGGCTGGTAGAAGGCACTTCGTTCCGGGGATGTTTGAACAAGTTGGGAATTATAAGCACCGACGTGCAAGATTTGTTTTGGAACAAATTTAAGCTATTTCAATGAAACTATGGAGTTCTTCTTCTATCTAATTTTACTAGTATATAAATCAAAGCATGGCGAATCGGTGGACTATATATATACATATATATACATATACATATATATATAGCTGCCATAGGAACGATCAGATTTTAAGAAAACAAATTATAACTTTTCCAGTTTTCAACAGATTTTCATCAAATTTTATATATAGCAATTAGATATTAATCTAGAATTTTGTGTAAAATTGTATGAAAATCGGATTACTATATCATATAGTAGAGTTCCGAAGTTAGCTTCCCTAAAAACTTAAAAAATTGGTTTTTGTGTAAAAGAATATTTTAAAATAAAATTGTGGCATCTTTTGCCAATGATATCTTGGTTCTCTTCACAAACAGACATGGCTAAATCGACTCGCCAGCTGATTGGGTGCAGAGATACCTTTTTTGACTGCAAAAAGATTCGAAACTTTTTCCAAAAATGATTTCCCTGGACTAACGGACTACCAGGTTCCCACGCGGATGCAGGATTTCAATCAAGAAATGCAAATGGGAGCAGCCGCAGAGCCATTGGTAACTCGATACTCTCTCCCGGCGCTGGCCGGGATGTCAGCACTTGATTGAGACCTTGATCGATCGGGGGAGCTGGGGGTGGTCCAGGCTCTGGCGTGGGCGTGTTGCACACACACACACTCGGCACACGTTCGCAACGCGTGTCTGGTCACCACAATGGATGAGGAGATGGTGTTGGCACTGTAATTAAATTTGCACGGCAATTACACAACATCATTTCCCGGGTGGCTGGCAGGGCTACCACTACCATTTCCACAGATTCTGGTGTAAAATACAAATTGATTTTAAACTCAATTAGCAACAAAAGTGGAGGCGTTTAAGCGGACACCGAAACTACACAATGAGATACGGATTACGACACTTGGATGGGCCTCAGATGGATGGGCAGGCGCATTGTGTTCCTATTCCGGAATAGATATATACCAGATATACCAGACACAGAGCCCTCCCCCGAGCAGGGATAACAACCCATCACCCCATCACCCCTTGCGATGGAAGCGATGATTTTTATGGCAACCCTCTGGGGTGCAATTTATCACATGGTGCACTCCGCATCCGCATCCGTATCCCTTGGATTACAGACAGTCAAAAAGCTAGTTGAGCACACGTGCAAGGATGGTGCACTTGTAGCCCAAGACTTACGCTCCTGCTCCTGCTCCTGCTCCTGCTCCTGCTCCTGCTCCTGCTCCTGCTCCTGCTCCTGCTCCTGCTCCTGCTCCTGCTCCTGCTCCTGCTCCTCCTCCTTCTTTTTGTGTCCTGGTCGAGGCGACAAACACTTAAGCTAATTTCACGCTCTACCGCTGTCCATGGCCGCCAGTTAGTTGCAGTTCCCTCTGCTCCCTTTGATCAATTTTACCAGCAGCTGTCGTCGTCCGGGGCCATTCACAAGATCCAGAAAACAGATTCCGAAAACAATCCAATTTTCCCTCGTGGAAATTCCTTCAGCCAACCGATTGTGTGTGTATATTGGGAATGGAAATACGGAAATATAAATAACTCCAGTGCTCCGAATCCAGTTGCGTGGCAATCGACGACGACGTAAATAAAAAAAAACAAAAGAGGCGCCTGCTTCTGGTCCAAAGTTACCGTTACCAAGTAAATAAACTTAACTGTCGCTATTTGCAAATGTGCAAATCAAGGGAGGGTGGGGAGTGGTAGGGGGTAGCCATAACGGTAAAGGTAACATGTACGGAATGCGTACATACGTCACTCGAAAAGCAAAAGCCTATCTGGCACAGGTGACAATTATTTCGTAAATAAATTGATATTTGTTATCTCTATATAGTATAGAAAAATAGCATTATTTATTTATAAAAAATTAAAATTAAAATTAAAAAGTCATCGTTAAATTAAAATAATCAAGTGAAAATAATAAACCCATAAAAATCGTAACGAACTTTAAGCTTCAGTCAACTATAGGAGGACACTTTTGTCACCTGCCGTTTGTTGATGTTTATACTTCCCTCTCCCTCGCACTTGGACAAGACAGGTCGCAGACTGTCGGAATGCAGCTAAAGCTAAGCTTTACCTTCCGAGGAGAGACAGGGAGAGAGGTGAAAAAATAGAGAGTCAAAGTGGTTGCCATTGCCACGTTGTTGTTATTATTAGTGTTATTCTTGCGAAAATTATATATATATGTATTATTATATTATTGTGTTAGTCGCGTTGCCACGCCCCCGACCTCCCCTTCCCATTATCCAGCGAAAATTGGGCCGTTTGCTTAAAAAGAAAGCAGAGAGAAATGCAGAAAAGTTGATAAACTCTCTTCTGGCAGACAGCCTCCAAAGCCACGATACAGGGTACATCGATGAATTCAATGTGGAATTTTCTGAAGAAACCAAAACAGAAATTACTCTTTTTTAAGTTACAAAATTAAATCAAATAATATACAATAAAATAATTAAAAAATCCATTTTCTTAAGGCACATCAGAATCATACAATTTTAACTGCACCCGGTGACCCTGTTTTCTTCAAAAAGGGGCGTTTACCTTTTTGTTCCCATGGGTTTGGGGGTGTTGGGGTAAATAAAGGGAGTTGGCAATATGAGAGAGGGGGGTTTGGGGTCGGTTAGCAGCTGGCTTTCCCAGGGAAAACGTCCAAACAAATGAAAAACACAGCCACAGCAGATGCGACTCAATGAGAGATGTGCAGAGCCAAAATGAAGGCTGGAAAAATACTCGGGATGGGGCTCATTCCAATATGTACGTATATATTTATATATATTTATTATTTGACTGCTTTTTACACACACACACACACACACACACATCATATTTAGTTATAGTATAAACAAATATCACAACTTACAAGCTACACAAAAAAAATTTATTGATTATTACTAGCATTCCTCTATAATCTATGGGTTTTTTTCGGATTAAATTTCTAAGTAGCATAAAAAAAAACAGTTAAGATGCCTTAAAATACACAAATTAAATATTCAAGTTGAATATTTATTGTTTACATTAAATATTTGTTCACTTTTAGCCTCTGGTTAAATACTTTAGGTAACTAAATCAATAATAAAAAAGCACTCACTTTTCTTTGAAATCTTACTGTTTGAATTTTAACCTTGGGTTAAGTTAACTTAAACTTTCATAAAACAAACAACCAAAAGAAAAGTAATAAATAAGATTAAAATACGTTTTAAATCCCACCGTTCAATGCGAACATATCCACTAAATAAGGAAAAACAAACGAAAAACTACTTTAAAACAAAATGAATTAATTAATATCAATACTCATAGCGATTTCTGGATAACCTTGGTATCACCAAATTGGGTAGTTGAACTTCTAGTTAATTACTATAGCCATAGGTTAGCTAGAAATTTAGTCAACTTCCGTTTAAATAATCAATTTAAGACTCGGTAGGACTTAATACCAAAGAGAATTTCAGATGGTAATACCAGGATTGGTGGGGAAAACCCTCAGTGAGGCTTAAGTCCCATTCTAGGGTTAAAAATGTAATCAGCGTAACACTGAAAACAATTGTAGTTCAAAGATCAAGGATTTCTTCAGCTTATTGGGTTAACCAAGGATTAGGTTATCCTAGTATTTGGTTCATAAATCCATACAGCTGTGGAAGAACAAAGTCAACACTCTATTCCGACCACGCCCACGGATCCTGATGACACACCTGCCGCCCCCCACCTCCTACGGGGGGGCGAAGAAGTTGGCCTCGTTGAAGAGGCAGCTGGTGGCGAAGCTGGAGGCGCCGGCGCTGTCTCAGGGCGTCTCCAGCACATGATTTAGGTAGGCAATGTAGCAGATGGCCAGCTTAAGGATCTCGATCTTGGACAGCTTCTTGTCCGGCGGCAGAGTGGGTAGCAGCTTGCGCAGCTCGGCGAAGGACACGTTGAAGGCCTCCACCCGGATGCGCTCACGCGTTGCATGCGCCGTCCGGTACTTGAGTGTGGCACGGCGACGGCGACGACGCTCTTCCCGCGACAAGCCCACCAGCTCCGATGGATCCAGGTGGGCAATGGGCGTGGTCCGGCGCCGCGGAGCCGGCGTTGGCGGAGGCGGTGGCGCCGGCTGGGCAGCCGTTTCGCAGGCCATTCGCGCCTGGAATCGCTTGTCGATATCCAGCGTAGTGCTGGCCGCATAGTCCTCGCTGACCAGATGCGGATTGTTTGCCCCCACGACCATCTCGTCCTCCTCGGGCAGATAGTAGCGGCTCAGGGCGATGCTCTGCGCCGGACCCGCCGCCATGTGCGTCATGTCGTAGACCATTTTCTTCCCGGTAGTTTCGACTTGGCCCTGCTGCCGCCGATTGCTACTGTGGAAAGAAGACGAAACACAAAAGTGAGTAATTGCAAAATAATTGCATGAAAAAGCTTAAATATTTTTGCAAATATAAAAGGTTTAAAATTATAAACAGTCTCAGAACTGTGTCTATGTTGTGCCGAAGAAGGACACTTGCTGTCCAATCCTTCTGAATTAAATCCTCGGCACTGTAACCCCGCAAAATCAAACACTTGCATTATTTATGGTTCATTTGTGTGCATTTGTCGTGAAGGGTGTGCGAGTGTGCCGCACACACGCACACACGCACACCCCTTACACCCCTTACACCCCTTTGTGTTGTTTGCCTTTCCTATTATTTTCATTTATTTTTATTGTACTTATTGTGTTTATTGTTTATTCGCAACATATTTTCACACCTACACAAATAGCCGAACAATCGGCACGTTTATTTGCCCGCGGGAGTTGGTTCCATCTCAAGGAAAGACCTCAACCCCTTTGGATCGGGGTGTACGTGAATCCCTAAACCCAAAACCCTTTTGCGGTTTACATATTATTTTATTCGCATTAATTTAATGGGGTTTTTTTTCAAAAGTCACACACAAATTGCGTTAAGACAAGGACGTGGTCATGGCTATTGTTGGCCTCTTGAGATTAAGCGAAATCGGATATAGTTCGTCGGTGCTAAAGTCTCTGGAGATTTTTAAAAACCATAAACATATCTGTCATGAATTAAAATTAACCATGGTTACAGTTTATTTTTAAGTAAGTAAGTATTTGAAGTTACATTTGCTTTACAGAAATTAAAACATAAATAATAAATTTGGAATTAAATTTAAATTCCTTGATTCATTTTTAAAAATAAGCAAAATATTTTTGCTATGTATGTAATTGGTTATAATTGGAAAAAAGAAAAGCTTGGTTCTTTGCATTTCCATACACTTTTTTGATTGAACATCGGAAACAGAAAAAAAATATATATTACACAATCACTTTTTTTACTATTTTCATAAAAAAAACCCGATTTGTCTAAAAACTAATTACAAATTTCCATTCCCCACTTTTAAATTATTCCAATTTGCAAAGCGTGAACTTACAGCAGACACAGGTGCAGAGTATTCCGTAATCCTTTGCGTGGCTAGTGGCTAGTGACTGCTGCTGCTCGCCTGAAGGAGACACACGTCGAACTGACTTCCGGTCGCGAGGCTGCAGCTTCCTTTATTGCGAAAATCGGAACAACCCTTGCCTCCCAAAAACAACAGCCAATGGCATGTTCACCACCCTCGTCTACAGGCGCCAATTAAAGCGTTCCCTGCAAGGAGAACAAAATGGCGGTGGTTGTTTCGGAAGACCGCCCCTTTGAGAAGAAGAAATCACCCTCTATATGGGATGCTGTATGGGATTTCAAAATTAAATTTACGCGGGCCTCCCTCTGCGACCGCACACAGTTATCGATTACACCAAAAGATTGTCGATTTCAAGACCAGGGACTTTACCAGCCCTGGCGAACATTAGACTGGAGCTGGATAAATATCGCGGTATTTGAATAACGTTTTAAATTAGCTCGAAATTTAAATAAATTGCAGCAAATAAGCAACAAATATTACAACTTAATTATGGTTTTTGTGTGTCTTAAGTAAGTAAACTACAATAAATGGGTACACTTATGGAAAACAAAAGTGTGCCACCACAGAGTATCGATATATTGTCTTTATATCGCTGTATCGATAGTACAGTACACATTGCATTTCATAACACAAATTCATTAATGCCAATTGTTTTTGCTGAAATAATCAAATAAAATGAACCTGTCACGACTACTGGCACCCCTGCGGAGCACCACATGCCCGGTGCGCACCTACGGCAAACACAATAAGAAGTTCCTCTACAAGGATGGCCAGAAATTCGAGGGCATCACATACTATCCCAGGTGAGGGGCAGCGCGGTGAAGAAAGCCGCACTTTACGCCATGTTTTTAACAACGACCATCAACCCGTTATTCGCAGGACGCCAGATCACCAGGACCCACCCGTGGAGCCGGCAAAGTTGTTCCGGGTGCAACGCATTAAGCCGGTAAAGGGCAATCCGTACTGGGAAAAGCGCATCCTCAAGGATTTGGGCCTGGACGGCAAACAGAGCGACTTTACGGTGGTAAAGAATATACCGGAGAACAATGCCCGTCTGTGGAAGATCAAGCACCTGGTGAAGGTCACTCCGATTACGTTTCCGTATGGCGAACCTACGGCACAAGATGTGCGGCACACGATACTCAAGGAGAACGGAGAGTGTCTGGTTACAAAGGACCTTGGACCCGTGGAGGTGCGCCTGGAGGCACGCGGCAAGTTTGACGAGCAGCCCCGTCGACTGGACACTGATCTGCTGCGCAAGGACGCCCGTCTTAAGTGGCTGAATCCATGGTAGTCGTGTAATGTAACCAATACAAATATCTGTTAACTCTATTTCCATAAAAAAATGTTGCAAAATATATAAAAAGAGGAAAGAAACTTATGTTAAAGCGGGATTATAAGGATCACTTATGACCATGGCTACCTTCTTTTCAAGCGTCTTGCAACCGGAGATGGCGAACATGTTGTGTTTGCGGTCATAGCTTATTGAGTTTTTGAGGATTTCGGCGATGGCGCTCTTCTTCGGCTGCATGTTCCAACGCCAGAACTCCTCCTCCAGGCACTTGACCACATGCGCCTGCTCCATTGGCAGGAAGGGAATGAAGTGATCGATCACGTGCGATTCTATTAAGGCGGTCTGCTTTAATCCACCTTCCAAGTTGTAGGCGGCATTCTTCAGGAGTTTCTCGAAGTCGCCCAGCCGGGTCTCCTCCCGCAACACGCCGCTCTTCATCAGGTTGCCCAGATGATCGGCTATGTGCTTGCCGGCCGTGTTTGAGAGAAAGATGAAGATGGCCTTTGTGTTGTCCGTCCCGTCGGTGAAAACGTTATAGTCGGCAAGCGAGGCGAGCGTATCGAAGACGCCGCTGGGCATCTTGTCCACCTCGTCGAAGATAAACAGCGAGCGCGGACATTTGCCCAACTGATTTCGGACCTCTAAGCTGATCCGCTGCTTATAATATTGCACAAAATCTGCGTTTGGAAAGTCGGCCTGGCCCAGGTACTTGGTTACATAGCCGGATTTGGAGCCCTCGAGGTACAGTGCCTGCGCGATCTGATCCGCCACAAAATTCTTGCCTGTTCCCGGCTGCCCGTGGAAGCTGATCACCAGTGGCTTCCGCGAAGTACTCCTTGAGCGGAAGTGAGCCTCCAGTGCGGCCACAACATGCTGTTTCACAATGTGTTGCCCAAAGAGTGTTCTATCCAGTGAATCTCTAAGTGCTGCTTGCGGGAATACACGTAATTAGAAACTATTACAAAAACACAATCCGCACTGACCCCCTATGTTGCCCGGTATGCTGCGGTCATCGCAGCACTCGGTAAACTTGCATCTAAAGTACGCCGCAGAGCCGGCGATGCCAAAGCCTATGGCGGTCATGGTGAGCGGTTCAAAGGACTCTGCTGGCAGAATCATCAGGATTCCAAGGGATAGCAGCACTACTAATCGCATTTTGGCCACCTATGTATGTACGTACATTTGCTTCAAGAATGAATTTACTTATTAGCGGTGAAGAGTCGGCAAAAGCTCGTGTCACGATTTGAACCTCGATAGGTATTATCGATCAATGGTTTTCCCTTTCGCAATGAATTCAAACTTTTTACTATTTTGCATTCATTTTTATGGTATAACTAGGATTGGGAATGTTTTTTTTTTAACTAATTCTGGCCCGTTTGTTTCTGTGCACCACTGTTCGTGAGTTTCTCGTGCATGCAAGAAGTCGCGACACGCCGCTATCGATATTGCCGGTAATCGTTGCCTGTACACCTCTAGTCGCTGGCAAAAAAAAAGAAAGAAACGCCGCATCGCAGGAAAATTGTCCCAAAAACCATTCAAGAATTGGCACGGTCATAAGCACTCGCATCCAACGCGGACGACACGTAGTCGAAGACTAGCAACCACTGAACTCCACTCCAGGGGCAGCAGCAGAGACAGGCGTCCGCCTCTCAGCCAGGAGGCAATCCAACAAAGCGTGCCGGTCGAACGAGGCAAGTTTTTAGCATTCTAGCAAAGGAATCGCAAGCGAAGTGAAAGTGCCCTAGTAGAGGTCAGTTAGTGTGGAAAGATGAGTCGCCGACGGGCCCACGACACTGAGGACGAGAGCTATGGTGAGTGCATTGAAGTTACCTTGGTTATTAGAGTCTGTAACTGGAGGGGAATTCTCAAATCCAGATCATCGGCGGAACAAGCGCCGCCGGGTGTCGGAGAACCAGGAGATCGAGGACCGCCTGGAGTCCCTGATTTTGCGTGTGGGTGAGCGCAGCACGTCATCGGTGGAGTCGAATCTCGAGGGACTCGTGTCTGTGCTAGAGGCCGATCTGGGCACCTTTCGCCTGAAGATATTGCGCATTCTGTCCGACTGCGCCGTGCGGATGCCAGAGAAATGCACAGTATACACTACGCTGGTGGGTCTGCTGAACGCTAAAAACTATAAGTTCGGCGGCGAGTTCGTCGATCATATGGTGAAAACGTTCAAGGAGTCGCTAAAAATGTGCCGCTGGGACGCCGCCCGCTACTCGCTGCGCTTCCTTGCCGATTTGGTCAACTGCCATGTGATCTCAGCCACCAGCCTGCTGCAGCTGCTTGACACAATGATCGACGTGTCCAACGAGGACACGGTGCCGCAGGTGCGTCGCGATTGGTTCGTCTTTGCCGTCCTTTCCACTCTGCCCTGGGTCGGCCGCGATCTGTACGAGAAGAAGGAGTCGGCGCTGGAGTCGCTCCTGCTGCGCATCGAGGTCTATTTGAACAAACGCTCCAAGAAGCACCACAATGCGCTGCGTGTCTGGTCATCGGATGCGCCGCATCCGCAGGAGGAGTACCTAGACTGCCTGTGGGCGCAGATACGCAAGCTGCGCCAGGACAACTGGGCGGAGAAGCACATCCCCCGGCCGTATCTAACCTTCGATACGATATTGTGCGAAGCACTGCAGCATAATTTGCCGCAGATTGTGCCGCCGCCGCACCACGATGCCTTCGAGTATCCCATGCCCTGGGTGGTCTACCGCATGTTCGATTACACCGACTGCCCCGACGGGCCCAATCTGCCCGGTGCCCATTCCATCGAGCGCTTCCTCATCGAGGAGCATCTGCACCACATTATTGAGACGTACCACCATGAGCGCAAAGACTGTGCCGCCCAGCTGCTTAGCTTTCCGTTTAAGCACAAGATACCGCTGGAGTACTGCATCGTGGAGGTGATATTCGCCGAGCTCTTCCACATGCCGACGCCACGCTATCTGGACATCTGCTATGGCTCCATCCTGATTGAGCTGTGCAAGCTGCAGCCGGCCACACTGCCCCAAGTGCTGGCCCAGGCCACCGAGATCCTGTTCATGCGCATCGATTCGATGAACACGTCCTGCTTCGATCGTTTCGTCAACTGGTTCTCCTATCATTTGAGCAATTTCAAGTTCACCTGGTCGTGGGACGAGTGGGACAGCTGCCTGCTGCTTGACGCCGAGCATCCGCGTCCCAAATTCATCCAGGAGGTGCTGCACAAGTGCCTGCGGTAACTGACTTTCTTACTTTCCTATCTTTCTTATTGACCATTATGTTCTTCCCTGACGGCAGGCTCTCGTATCATCAGCGCATCACCGAAATGATGCCCACGACATACGCCAAACTCATCCCGCCGACCCCCGTGCCCAACTACAAGTATGCCAACGAGGAGGCAGGTGAGTCATTCGCCCAGAACATGATCCGGAGGTTATACATTTGTATTTGGGGATAGGGCTTACATGGCTAGGATTATGATTGTAGTTTAGGAGAAAGGGGTATTTGCGGGTCACTTAATTGCTATTGGCTTCACCTCATTCTCCTCGTCGTCCACAAGGATGGGTATCTCCTCGCCATTCTCGCCCACCTTGATGCTGACCGACCGACTGACCGACTTTTGGGTGAGCACCTCTACAACTGGCCTCGGCGGAGGAGTGGCTGCCTCCGTTGTCGTCGTCGTCGTCGTTGTCGTAGTTGTACTGCCGGCGGCTATGAAGGCCTCGTGCCGCAGACTGCCCTTGCCCTTGTTATCCTGATCCTTGCGCCGCTTGGCCCACTTACTGATCGGCGGCTCCGTAGTCGTGGATGTCGTAGTGGTGGTGGATCTACCAGCAGTTATCCGCGGAGTGGTTCGATAGCGACTTATCGAGCGCAGCGGACTGAAGTGCGTGGAGGTGGACACGAAGTTGGAACTGCTTGTCGTGGGGATTACATGCAGAGTTGTGGCTGTTGTTGTTGAGATGGAAGAGGCCTCAGTAGCTTCAGTGGTAGTTCCAGGCGCTGCAGTGGTGACCAGTTCCGGTTGCTCCAGGCTGCTTCCCTTCTTCTCCTGCTCTGTATTGACCTCCAGCTGTTGCTCCTGGTCATGCTGCTTCTCTGGCAGCACATCGATGGGATTCTGGTGTAGATAGAGGGGATCCGGTTCTGAATATCGATACACTGTCTCCTCGAGAGGTTCGCTCTGCACAAAGGATTTGTCCTCGTCGTTGGCCCCTGCGTAGATCAACAGCGGTGGCAGCTTGGCCGTCTGGTACTTGGAGGCCTGGCCATAGATCTGTGGCGTTCGCAGCAGCACCGCCTGCTCCTGCTCGTGCTCCTGCTCTCCTCGTTGATCCTCGACAGACTCCGAGGATGCAGAATGCGAACTGGGAAACTGCACTGTCTGATGCGGTGGATAGAAGCTCGCTATGGGATGACTCGGCGGAGTAGTTAGCTCGCTGTTATCCGAACTGGACGACGATGGCAGCCGGTAGGCTAGCTCTGTATCCCCCGTTCCGGGGGCCACATAGAAATGGTGATGAAAGTGATGTGTCACGCCACCAGGACTGGCCTCACCGCCACCATGAACGCCAGGCAGCTCGTTGTTGTTGTTATGGCTGTGGGGAAACCTCTCCACCGCCGGATAATTGGGACGGAAGGTAGTGGGCGCCACGTAATTTGGACGCAGGCCCAGATTAAAGAGTCCCGGGAACAGCTCGATCTTGGGACTGCCCTTCAAGTACTCACCAATATTCAGCTTCGGCGGCAAGGCTGGCGGCAGCGGCAACGACGGAGCAGGCTGGAAAATGCCATGGACAAAGGTGGCCTGCGACTGTTCCGCATTCGCTGACGGTCGATCCTGTCGCCTTTGGGCGAATCCAGGCTCTCGGGTGAAGCGTCCAAAGCTGCCCGGATAGTCGGACTCCTTTTGGATGTAACTCATCGGCTGGTTTGGCTGCCACGACTGACTCTCCAGCGGCGTCACACTGAACTTCATCTCGTAGTGAAAGGGCCGACCGCCGCTCTCCCCGTCCCGATGTCGTATGCGTTGGACCTGCCACAGGGCACGTCGCCGCTGGTTGGGACTCGATCCGGGACACTTCAGCTGGAAACAAGTGCCGCCCTCAACGAAGCGATATGTGGCATTGCTCTGTCCCGTTCCCAGTTGCTCCAGATAGCCCTTGGCCAGGGTAATAATGTCGCCAAAACGCGAGGACGCCGATCCCGATACAGAGCCGCTCTGAGGATCTGTCGGCAAGTAGGGAGTCTGCAGGAAATCATGATACTCATGCAGCTGGCTGCCCGAGCATCAATCTTTGAGTGGAGGCTAAGGATCGAGAGGGAATAGCATGTCTTACCTTAGATTTCCGGCTGCTGCATTGACGGCTGCATCCGTAAAGAGTGTCACATAGGTCACATGCTTCAGGGTTCGCTCCCAGGGCCGTTGAAGCCGCTGCTCCGATGGACTTCGCCGGCGCAATAGCTCCTCCTCCTTCTCCTCCTCGTAGTAGATGCGCTTGCCGTTAAGCTGATGGCCCTGCCTGGGTGTCAGCAGCAGATCCCGTCCAGCGCCCACAATGGCCTCGCCCAAGGGCAACTGAAGATGCATGAACAAATGGATGGAAATCTCTGGATGCTGCCTGCTGTAAGCAACAAACTTACAATTGCCATGAGCACAGGTAGTAGTAGTAGCCTGGACAAGCATAGATTTCGTTTCCTCATCTCGTCTTTGTCTCTTTGGATTCACTCACTCATCGGCACGAAAACAAAAACAAAAAGAAATATAACTAGGAAAGCGTTTTTGGAAGCGTTTGAGCTGCGCGCGCTTGCAACAACGACTGAGACGCGCCCGCGACTAACGCTCGCTAATAATCCGCACTTGGTGCTGGCATCCGGAGCCGTGTGGCTTCTATTGCTTCTCTGGCCCACTGCTTTCGTTGGGGCAGCCAAGCGATGCGTCGCCAGCGGCGTCGGAGGCCTTTTGCGCAATCTGCAATCCACAAACATGTGTGTGTCTGCTTTTCATTTTCTTTGGCTTTTTGCATAGCCACCAAGTTGGAGTCGGAGTCGGAGTTGGAGTCATTTATGCAATGCTCTAGGTTGGATGTGTGGTTGTCTGGAGATGGATGTGGAGCACAGCGGAATACTCTTCCTGGGCTACTCTACTTGGATATATAGTTGGCTTCTAAGCATAGTTCATTCTTAACAGGTTGTCAAAATTTGGAGAATTGTTATGTTTTTAAATTTAAAAAACTATCTACTTCTGTCTTGGTTAGGGATCATTTTAAAAAGATCTATACTGGTTAGATATTTTAAGCATATTACATCGGTATGTTAACATGACGCTATAGGTATAATATTATATTTTCTAATATTGATATTTGAATGATAAATCCTTTACTTTGTAATATTTAAAATTGTGGATATATGGTTATATTTAATTATATGTATAAACCTTAATTAAGTTGCTAATAGAACTTACTTGAAGATTTACTTACATTCAAAAAACTATCTTCCTCCGTTTTCCACACTTCTTACTCAGTTGCAACTAGAACCAGTTGGGAATTTTAAAACCCCGTAGAGATAATAAGGTATTGTCCTTGAAACAATCTTGTTCGTACTTCGAATTTATTTTCTCTTTTAGAATATATTTTACTATAGCAGGGTATATCTTAATTCCACAGTATGTATATATGTATATATGTATATGTATGCTCTTCATGAATTTGATTTCATTTGTGTTTTGGCTATATAGCCTCCATTTAGGCCCAAAAAAGAAAAATACAAAATAAAGAAACGTTGCCTTAGATTTCTATCGTGGCTCGCTTCGTTGGAGTTTCCCTCTCAGGGCGCTCCCTTCTGTGGGGTTCACCTTCGGCGAGGTTCTTTCCTGCCGCCTCCATGATGACCCATCGCAGATAACCTCCTAACGGAACGGAATGGTGGAGCACTCGATAGCATTGAACTACGTCCCAGAGTAAGAGTACTTCCCCGAGTACCCACTGGACACGCTCAATTTGAGCGGGGAAACCAGAAACCAGAAATCAGAAATCAGACTCCCGTGAAAACATCTTTAATTCTGGCTTTTAAAACTGGAAGCCACTTTAGGAGGCGATGGACGATGGCAGGGAAGACAATGTACAGGCAGACAGTGTTATTAAATATTATGTGCGAACTTTTTTTCCACACAACAAAAACATCATGATCTTGACACATGCAAAAAAAAGAAGAATAAACAAAACAAAACTCCCAAACCATTGACATTGTCTAGAGTCTCTTTGAGATTTTTTTTAAAGGTTGATGCTTGATGATCATTTATAAGGCTTTTTCCTAAAAGAATGGAACAGAGTTGGCGGAATGTTTTGTGATTAAATAACGAGGGTTTTATCGCATTAAAGAAATTAATTAATTAAAGAATTAAAGAAACTAAATTGAACTGTAGGATCGAATTGATAATCGATCGTAACAAGGCTTAAAATATTCGAATTCTGTGAATAATAATATTAATATTTGTATATGCAATTTGATCGACAAATCAAAGTCTAAAAAATTCATAACTAAGCCAAAAAAGCATTCATTTTAGTTTGAAAAGCTTTCCCAAGCTAGTTTTTATCAGGCTAATAAATCTGCAAACTCAATATAAAATTGAAAAATTTTATGAATTTTAAAAAATTTTAACGATGTAAGCCCTTATAAAATTTAAAAAAATTTCAAAAAATATTGTTCACCTTCTTTATACTTAGATGAATACGCCTTTTGATGCTGATCAAGAATATATATGATTTATAGGATCGGAAATGGTTCCTTCACTGTTAAAAATTATATTTTCATCTGCAAGATTCCTAAAATCGATATTTTTATTTGATAATTTTAAATATTGTTTTAGGACAATCAAAGTTTAAAAATCGCATAGCTATGTCAAATAATAAAGCACTTTTCTTGACAATACCATATGGTTTAATTATTGTTTAACTACAAATAAACTAAATGAATAGGGAAATCAAAGGTGCGCTTTTCTTTTATAAAATATCAGGCACTTTCATCTCAAAGATCTCTTTTGCTTCAAATCTCAGCTCATATCTTGTTCGAACTAGGCTTTAATGTAATATTTATTTTTAAATTCGCACCTAAATTCCCAATTCCGCATTTGGTAATGCAAAATGCTTGCCAAATGGCCGCATAATTAGTGGCTCTTCACAAAAAGCCACCCTTTTCGATCCACATAATTGACGCAAGTGCCAATAAACTGCATGTAATGTAATGTCTGGCAGATGGAGGAGCAGGTGGAGGAGGCTTGGAGCTGGAACTGGAGCTGAAGCTAGAGTTGGAGTCGTCATTAGTAACGCAGTGCCACGCATAGCTCCCTGGCGGTGCCGCTTGGTTCCACGCCATGAACTGCGCATAACAAAAAGGCAAGAGCCCAGAGTAAATGCGAATTGCAACGAAAGTGTCACCTAACTAGGAACACAAGGCATTGCTCCTCTCTCTACGGGCACTTGATTCATTGTTTTACATTCAGGGAAGCCTCTAGAAAACTCCGAGAGCATTCAATTTATATGGAAAACAGGTAGAAAACAGATCTTAAATTAAATTGATTTCCCTCTTTAAAGCAGCTAAAGAACAAATGCAGTCATAAATCATAGGGGAAAGTTGACTTAAGTTAGTGTATTTTTTAGTTTCCCTTAATTAAAGCCTAATTTCTATCATATCCCCAAATCATACCTCTCATAAACACACGCAAATTATCTGAATCGTTTCCTCATCGCTTCGTTTTTCTCTCTTTTAGCCAATTTGCCGGGCACAACTGTGGCCCATCAGCTGGTGGTGGCCATCCGTCAGAAGTGCACACCGGAGGAGGTGGTCAACATATTGAAGGAGATACCAAGCAGCGGTTACAGCGGCGATGAGATGTCCGATGGCAGCTTCAATGCCTTGAAGATTGATGTCTTTGTGCAAACATTATTGAATTTGGGCTCGAAATCGTTTTCGCATAGCTTTGCGGCCATTTCCAAATTTCACACGGTATTCCGCGCCTTGGCCGAAACGGAGGAGGCCCAGATTTGCATTCTGCACAATATCTACGAGCTGTGGTCATCGCATCCACAAATGATGGTCGTACTGATTGACAAGCTGCTGAAACTGCAGATCGTCGATTGTTCGGCGGTGGCCACATGGATCTTCTCCAAGGAGATGACCGGCGAATTCACCAAGATGTATCTGTGGGAGATCCTTCACCTGACCATAAAGAAGATGAATAAGCATGTGATCAAGCTGAGTGAGTACGCTTGAATCTCTTACCTAATGAACGCTTCCTGACTCCATCTCCATTCCATCTTGCAGACACTGAGCTGAGCGAGGCGAAGGACAAGCTATCGAAGGCGGATTCCTCGTCCAGCGATTCGGAGGAGGACTCTTCGCACAAGAGAAAGAAGCCCATCACGCATGCCGACAAGCCATCCGAGGAGGTGAGTCTACACTTTTCTTTTAGGTATTGTATTTCATATAAACATTTCGTGGCTATCCCCCAGGTCGTTGAGCGTATGGAGGAGAAGTTGGAGGCGGCGAATGTCAACCAGAAACGCCTGTTCCTCATTGTCTTCCAGCGCTTCATTATGATTCTATCGGAGCATCTGTTACGTTCCGACACGGACGGCCGTAATCCGGACACGGACTGGTATCGCTGGACAATCGGGCGACTGCAACAGGTCTTTCTCATGGTGAGAAGTCATCTAATTTGGGTAAAGGCTTCTTCTCATTCGACCACTCTCTCTCTTTTGGCAGCATCATGAACAGGTCCAGAAATACAGCAGCACCCTGGAGACGCTGCTCTTCACATCCGACCTGGACACGCATATATTGGAGGTTTTCCAGCAGTTTGTGGCTCTGCGTGCCTGAAGAGGAGTAGTTGCTGCTCCCGTCAAACTTCCCATCCCTCTCAAGCACTCTTTAGTCTGTTCTATTTTATATTCCCCCATTTTTTTTGTATCCTGTTTGCGTATTGATTTTTTGACAGTGTAAAGTTGAGTCCTGATACTAACTCCTTTACCCAGGCGCTACTTATACTTTGTATACAAAACAAATCACGAATAAAGTCGAAACGAAAGGTTCTTTGCCATGGTGAAGAACCAGAAGGACGCGAAAGTACAAAGCTGCCAGTTGATTTAATGGATTTGGCTTAAATTTTTGTTTAAAAATTGCAGTTTCTATTTGTAAAGCATTGTGAACAAGATGTAATTGGATCACACCATCGGTAAGTATTTTATTAGCAAACATATTTGAATAAATTTAATTAAATTATAAATTATACTCGCAGGACCAAATGAGGAGTCTAGTTTGATGTTCACAAAACAATAAAAGGAGCTTAGAAGTGAACTGAAGTCCTGCCGGTACGACCAGAAGGATTTTGGATTATCATTTATATATATTATATATATTTTTCGTGGCCCCAAAACTATGCAATGCCCACGATTGAGATTTGCAGTTTGACAGCGACACAGAGACTCTTTTGATTGCTCTCGATTTGGTAAATATATTTATTTATATGTATGCACTTTCATAATTATATATAGATCTGTTTTGTATGCGTTCAATATATGAAAATATAGATGTATATATTTTCCATTTTGCTTTTGTTTAACTTTGGCTTTCAGGTTCATAATCAGGTTCAAGTTCGTCATCAGATTGAAGGTGTTTCTTTGTTGTCGTCGTCACCATCTGGGCTGATTCGCTCCGCTCCTTACGAGGACGTTCTCGGCTGACTGGGCACATACTTCTCCGATGGCTGGTACTGCCACTGAGCGCAGATGGCCTCCTGTTCCGTTTGGTTATATCCGGCTCTGGAAAGAAGCCAACCGGAGGAGCGAAGAAGGCATGCAGGATTCACAATGAGTTTATTTTTGACACTGGCATTGGGGCAACGCAAACGCAAGGACACGTGCAGGACATGCAGGTAAGTAAATGAAAGTGTAGGGACCTATAAACTACTAATACTAAACGGGAACAGTGGGTAGGTAGTGCCTCGATCTCTAGGTCAAGTGCTCCAGAGCCACACAAAGAGCGGAAAGTAATCTTTGGGGGCAATCCTTATGTCTCAGTTATATCTATCATTACTCCTAAAGAAGTTGTCATTAAGATATCAATCTTTATAGTTTTATTTATGGATTCCCCGAACTAAAAACAGGAATATATTAAAGCACTTACTGCTAACAAAAAATAGCCATTTATAGTATTTAATTGATGTTAATGTTCATTAAGAATTCCATTCTGTTGTTCTCAAGATGACTAAACCACGATAACTAAATGACTTTTACAGAATATTAAGCAACTTTTGCGATATAAATAACGAAACAGGATAAAGTCAAGATCATTAATATAAACATCACGTTCACCTGTGCTGACTTAAAGCAAATCGAGAATTAAGTTCTTTGTGTTTTTCTTTAAAGTAAAAATTGTAAAACAAATATATGTACAACTGAAGTTATATATTCCAACGCGACTAGATATTTTAAAAGGAGAAAATGACAAATATTTAACTTATGATGAGACAATGGACCAAAATACGATGGTTAAACAAATCTATCACAAAATGTTATAATTAATATTATTATTATTATCGTAAGTCTTGCTAAATGCTTGCATAAGAACTTAAAAAAGAGCCTTTATGTAAGGTTTTAACATTTTTATAATAATTTTGTGATAATTATATTCAAATTATTCAAAATCAAATATATGAGGTATCTTTAATAGCCACCAATGATTTTATGTTTGTTTTTTTATAGCATTTGGCTTTGATTTAATTTAGTGTTTTGGTCCAATGGATATAGTAACAGATCTGTGATAATAATATATGATCAACTTAACAAGATATTAATACTTTAATGGAAGATAATCTATTACCTAAATCTAGTTTCCTATCTAGTCTAGAGATATGTATATCAAAAGATATAATAATGTATGTGCCTAGATAAGTCTCCCTTAGTTAATTAGACTTTAGTTTGGATACTTTGTATCCCTTGGTAATCCCCTCCTGCATTCTTCCCCAAAGATTACTTTCCCCTTGGCTCTCTCGGCTCTCGCTGCTCTCAGCTCCAGCGGGAGTCGGGTGCTCCGTATCCATATCCATAGCCACGATTTCCATAGCCATATCCATAGGATGACGCTCCCGGCCGCTCGTAGTAATAACCAACGGCAGCGGCTCCTCCTCCTCCTCCTGCTCCTCCTCCGGGCTGGTACTCCTGCTGGTACCTCGAAGATGATGGCGGTAACTCCCTGCTGACCGGTGACTGCAGACTGTCCCAGAGGAGCCGCGGCCGCTGAACCACCTCGCGCAATATATTGACCGCCGCCAGGCCAACGCTGGCCAACTTGACGCCCCAACGGCGGGCAGTGACCTTGGCGGGCGCTATGGCGGCCAGGGAGCGTCCCTGCGGATGGGCCAGGATCTTGGCTATCAGATTGTCGCCATGCGGCGGCACATAGAGATCCGCCTGGCGGTACTCCGCCGGACAGTGATCGGTGCGGTAGTAGTAATCCTCGAACCTCTGGTGCGCCGAGCAGGGACTGCGCTCCTGGAAGCATGTCACCTGGACCACATTGTAGAAGATCGCTCCCAGAGTGTTTGCCGTCTCCGTGTTGGCCGCCTGCAAACACCGCCGGAATCGGGCATCGCAGTCACAGTGGCTCCTCGTGAAGGTACCACGATTGCACAGCCCCCGCCGGCATTCGCCGACATTGAGCACATCCGGACACATGTCGTGCTCCCGACAGCATCGATCCTCCCGGGCATGCGGCCCCAGGTCATCGTAGCTGGTGGCCGCCGTACCTGGGCCGCACCACTTTGTTCCCGGATAGATGAAGCCCAGGCCGCCGCGAAACTCGTGGCCATAGGAGCCCTGGCGGCGGCACACCTCCTCCAGCTCCATCACCGATTCCCGTGGCACCTGGCGGATGCGTCGTGGATCGGATTGGAGCAGCATGCGTTGGATATCCCCACTGGCAGGGATTAAAAGGAGATCAGAGATCATCATTACCTTATATTAATGGAAATATCACTATTATTTACCGGTCTGTGTGCATCTTGCAGAAGGGATGCCGTGATGACAGCTCCACCATTACGGTCATGGTCATGTCCGAGATGAGCACCGCCGATCCAGAGGCGGCGGGTGGCATTGCCGAGCCAAGGAGCCATAGGGCCAGCACCACCGCCACGGGCGGTTCCCTCATGGCGCCAACTGGGGGAAATCGGAAATCGGAAATGTATGAGGATCTCAGATATTGACGAAGGAAGAGGCGTGGCCGGCGGATGATCGGAGATCCGCTCCGATGAGCTGCCGGCGTGATAATGAGCCGATACGATATGGTATGATATGTGGGCCATCATTAGCCCCAAGAGCCACTCGCATTTTGCATTTCTATGGACCGCTCTGTGACCTCTGGCCACAGACAGAATCAAATATCCATAGCTGTGCACAGTGGTCAAAGCGCTGTTAAATTCATTTCAAAAACATAATCACTGTCACAACCGAAACCATCTCAATCGTGGGAGACCCTTCTTAAACCCAAAATTTATAATATCAATTTATGCATATATGGCAGCATAAAATCTTGACATTTTGTTGTACAAATTAACATTTTAATATATGTTCAAATTATCATTTTTGGGCCATCTTGTTATGCTTACAGATACAGAGAAAGAAATTTAATGGGAACGTATATTATTAGAAGTATTGATTTAAATTATTAAATTACCTATAAAGTAAAAACATTTTAATTATAGTCTATATATTGATTTAATTTAAAATTTTATTTTACAAACCAGTCTTCTTTTATCATATTTTATTTATTTTTATATGATTTATTATTTGTATTTTTCTCAGTTTTTTCGTTGTAGGATCCCCCGATACCACTGTAAAGCCAACGATCAAAACAAAAGGCAGCACAAAACAAATGATCGTGCATAGAAAAGACAAAAACAACAACTACAAAAATGAAACGGCGAAAACAATTTGCAAAATAAGAGGCGAGGGCTTTTGATGAACGGTATTCAGGTGGGAGTGGGACAACGGCATCGCATGGAGAGAGAGCAAGGGAGAGCGCAGCAGCGACCTACCCTAAGCAAAAACAGTAACTCGTCAGAGTCAGGAAGAGCGGCATCGCTTTTTGTGGGTCAGTTGAAGGTGGAGGCGTCGGCGTGTTACCAATTCTTCTTGGCTTCTCATCTTTGTGCCTTTTATATATATTACTTCTTTCTTGTTTTTGGCCAACGCGCAAAAGGTGAAGGTCGCCGCTCGACCAAGTCTGTTAATTAGTCAAAAACTAGAGAGATGACGCTAGCTTAATTCTTCGCTCGGTGCATCCGCGTGTGTGTGTGTGACAGTCCGTGAGTGTATTGCGTCGCGTTTACTTTACGTTATTATTTGCCAGGCCAAGGAACAGTTTTACACATCACGTTTCACTCAACTTGTAAAGCGTAAAATAATTAATGATGACACTCTGTACCCGCTTAATATCTGTAAGTATTATTTATGTTATTTGCCCAATTGTTCATTGTTTGTGCGGGTGTGTGTGTGAGAGCCGGCACTCCAACTGTACCTGTCACTCTCCACATAACTGGAGCAGCAGTGTGAGTGGGAGGGGAAGGGGAAGAGCGTGAGAACGCGAGAGTCTGGTTCAAGGTGCGTGCGAGTGAGCCAGAAGGAGTCAATTTGTCACGGGAACACAGTGAGAGGGAGAACCCGATGCAGGGAGATGGAGACATGGGCGTAGCGAGGGATCAAGAGTGTGCAGAGTCACATTATAAATAAACTATGAATGATTATAATTTAGAAGGTATTTAAAATTCTGTAAATAGATATATCGAAAAACTCTCATTTTATTTTAATGTTTTTCTGGGGTTAATGCTCTTCAAGTAATCTATTTTAATAACTGGGCACCCTTCGTATACGACCCCTCTTGAAAATATCCCGAACTATGTTAACCTCCGCCCCTGTCCTGTCTAGAGAGCCTTGCTCTTCTGTCAGCGAGTGAACTTGGCTGTCACTCAGCCGGCGAATATTGTTTCACTTTGCGCAGATCAATTGGGGTTTATTTATGGCGCAAAACGAAGCGATCAATCCCAATTCGCATTAATAATTCGCACCGACACGACAAGTGACAACAATTGATAATCAATTACCTACGGGCCATTATTCTAGCGGTGAACATAACTCTCGCACCACACACACACACATACAAGTGCACATCACAAGCACAAAAAGCATCTGCTGCGCTGCTTCTTCTTCGTCTTGTGGATTATCTAGCGATCTCTCTCTTGTTCGCATAATTTTCAATGTCAATGCTTTTGCTTTTTAATTTCGTGGCATAATAAGCCAGTCTTCCTCTGTTGCTCCCCTGCTCTTTCCCCATATCGCTCTCTCTCTGTCTGTCTTTTGGTCAGTGCAAAAGAAAACGAAAACAAAAACAAAGTCAAACTTAAAAGTTCGTTTACGTCCGTGCGTGTGTGTGTGTGTGCACCTCAAGTACAATGACCCAGCTCACAAATTTAATAAAATCCAACTATATTTGTATAATAAATATATTTCAAAAAATACTTAAGCCGTTTATAAATCTTTTGACTATATAACTTTAGCTCTAAACTGTCACTCAGCAGAAGGAGATCAACAACATTGGATCAAATCAGTTGAGATTACAGTCGAGCTTCCAAAACATGAACTTGTTGGAGTCTTAACTCCTCTGTTCGCTAAATTAAATTTAAAATTCGAATTAGAAGGTCACAAATATGAATACATTTGTGCTAAATTTTCTTCATAGCTTAACTTACAAAATACAATACATTCGATATATTTTAAAGCCAAAAAAGCATTAATTTCAATTTGAAAAACTGTTCTGTGTTAGTTTGGATCAGGTTAATCAATCTGTATACTAGATTTTAAATTTAAAAAATATTCAAAATTTTGTTGATTTTTTTAAATTTTAACGATGTAACCCCTTATAAAATTTTGAAAAAATTTTTTTCCTTTCCAACATAGTCAGAAAGATTTGCCTGTTGATGCTGATTAAGAATATATATGATTTAAAGGGTAGCAAATGATTTCTTTACTGAGTTTTAACCTTGTGAATACAAGGGTATACAAGTAAATGCTCTATAAGCCATTTAAAATATTTTTTTAATTTCAAGTTGATAGGAATATATTTTATTTCAGTGCATATAAGCAGGTTTAAAGTGTTTTTAGTACCTTTGGGCCTTTTTTCGGTCCATAAAATTGTTATTTAAATACTTTTTACGATGCAAACGCATGTAATTTTTTATTTGGCCAATAGAGAGGGTTGGAAGTTTTACTGTACCAATGGCATTAAATCCCGGGGAATATTTCTGTACCTTAATTGTTGGCCAAACTTTGGGCTGTTTACTACACCAAAAAAAAAAAAAAATCTTAATCATGGACAGGCGTGTCTTGAGTCATCAGATCCAAGTTCCGATCATCAATCAACAATCTCCTGTTTATGTAGATTTAGTTCAGTATTTTTTTGTAGTTTTGGGTATATATGGAGTCCATATAATGGACATATATGTATATGATTGGGGGGCCCTTCACTTGGACGCATCCGAAACTGGTTTGGCAGTTCGTTTGCATTTTGAATGTCACGCTGCAGACGCAGATGCTGGTTCTGAGAGGCGGCCCCCAGCAATAACAAGTTGTAAATCCCCCCTAGGCCCCCCTTCGGTCGTTTTTTAGGGGGTAACTCGAGACGTGGTAATTGCTGGACTGTCGACTGTGACACAGTGCTCTGTGCAAGTAATGTACCGCCGTCCGATAATCGCTGTAATTGCCGCAGACCTTCCGATTCCGACGTGCCCCGTTCATAAAGGAAGCAGCGTCCTTGTCCCTTTGCTGAATGGGGTCAAGTTTAAGAGCATCGGAATACAGAGCACATTGTGGGTACTTTAAATTGGGTATTCTATATATAACTATTAAGATTGATACGGTTACCATGACCTAATGAAGGGAGTTAGGTTCCAATACTTCAGAGTTAAATGTTATACTAGAATCTTTTTATAAAAAATATTTATAAATCAATGGGGATATCTTATCAACCAAGCTCTGGCATTTCTTTTGTTTAATATATTAATTATATTGACTGTGTTTTAATTTTTTTAATAATTTTAATAATAATCTTCAAGACTTTTTAGAATAGGAATTAAAAGTATTGTGGTTCGAAGTGGTAGAACCATAATCATGGTATATCATTGTCAAATATATCAAAGAATATCCAAAAAAAATCATCATATATCTCAGTATGTCATATTAAATCATAGTATGTGATAATTCATACTTTATATCATAGTACATTTATCATTATATAGCATCGTCTTTTAGTATCTATGGTTCTACTTATAAGCCATGTCTTTTTTGGGACAAAGATTATCTCAATATCTTAAATCTCAGTATCCTAAAGGTATATTTTTTACAAATAGATCTATTATGATATCTACACATCTATTACATAACATACCTTTATTTAAAGTTAGAAACAAAGATGTTTGTCTTACTAAAAACCAATTATATATGTGCTCCCAGTTTTCCACAAGTAATATTACCGATATTTGGATATTTTAGAAAGCCATATCCCCCGATAGTTTCCCCAATCAAAAATGAGGGGATCATAAAAGTGGTGCCATCTGGAGACGATCGAATTAGGGCCAATCGAATAACAAACAGAGGCCTGTCATTGTCTCTGACCGCAAATCGATCGAAAGGCGGATCAATATACATAAATCTAACTGGACAGTGGCGGTCATTGAACGCCCCTACCAAGGTCGTACCGGCTCCGAAAAGAAAACAAAGAAAACCAAAATATCCAAATACTACATAGTAGTAGTATCAGCGGAAACTAAAGTCAAACTGAAAAACTGAAAGCCAAGACGAAGGCGTTAATTGCCTGATATAGAGGAAGCGACTCTCCGGTGCTCCAGAGGAGCAAAAGGTGGGGAAAACCGATCGGAAGTTGACCATGTCAAGAACATAGGCACACTATTGACTTTCGCAATTTGCTAGAATCGAACACCAAACACCCAAGCAATCGAGCAAAACGAGGCGTGACCTTGGCTTACACCCCACCCTCCCCAGCCACATATGTATGTAGTTTGATCTACGTGTGTTAATCGCTGAGCAAATTTCGCGGCTGGTCGAGGTAATATATCTTCTCGCAGATAAATGTGCGAAAATACCTGACGGCCTGACGACGGCATCTTGTCTATCGGCCATTCAAATATTGTACTTAACCATGTTGCCAAGATACATATGTCCACAAAGAGAGTGTTTGGACATGCAAATGCTAACCAAAATGTCATGGGGCTAAGTTCTGGTCAAGAGACCGACCACTTACTGGGCCATTGGGTGGGGTCTATGTACTAATACTAGACATCATTAGGTTTTATTAAGTACTATAGTATAAAAGATGTCATTAGTTTTTAAATACTGATAGCTTGTCTCGGATATCTAGGGGTTGTTAAATAAATGTGGAAATATTTCAGGATATATATCACTTCATTATTTTAAACTATTATTTAATGTCATCAGGCTTAAAATACTCCTCTGATCTCAAGGGAAAGCTTTGTAAATATGAAAATGTTTCAGGATATATCTTTACTTCATTCATATCCTCAGATTTTCAATACTAATCTTTGATCTGAATAATCGGAATAGTCTTGAATATGTTCTAGGATCACCATATATTTTATTCCACAATTTAATTGTCCAAGAATATAAATTTATATTTATAATCTAACATTGTATATTGTTTTCTGATCGATCCTTCAGCTATCGACTTTATTTTAATTCTGAAAATAATCTATTAAAAACACTATACATATGTGTATAAAGTACTGTCCTGATCCTTATATTTTATATATGGATTTTTATATCATAAAAGCTTCCCTATGCTAAACATTATTTTTAAATCTAAACCCAATTTTAACTTCATCAGGAATATTTTCTAAGAGCCAATATATATCTGACTCAAAGGAATTCTTTAATTTTAGACATTTTGAATATAAAGTAAAATGCTTACAGTCAATCAATTTCTTTGAGTAAATAAAAAATCAGCCTGATTAATAAAATTGTTAATTTATTTGGTTTTGAATATTGATTTGGATGTCATTTTCTTATATTTTACTTAATAAAACGAGCTAATTTTAGAGGAAGCATAATTACGATTTAATTTCACTTTCAATTTTTTATATATTTTTCAAAGGATTTTCTTTAAATAAAATAAAATATGGGACTACGTATACGTAATATACTTATTGTTTTTTTCTTAAGAATTCTAGAGATATTTATAGTGTATCGGTTACAGTACCAAATTATCGATTTCTTATCCTTATAACATTAGGATCCTGATGAATTTTATTCTAAAAAAAAACACATTTCCCTAGAAATGGTTTCTAATTAATTTTTAGAACTTTAAAGCAAAGTATCTTTGTATCTTGAACCCAAAATATTTCCTAAATCGGGGGATCGTTATTTAATCGATTTGCATATATCCTTGATATCGATTTCGATTTCATTGGAACATTCACTTTTGGCACTTGTGAATCCTGCGCGGATGAAGGATGTTTTTCGAAGGGAAGGCTGCGCTTTAAACACAAGGCCGCCTGGCTGCCTTCACCTTTTGACATTTGGCCCACTGCGGGACAACCGCCCACACCCGACACTCGCCGCCCACTGGGAACACACCCTCGGCGTGGCCTTCGTGCGTGAAATGACCTTCAAAAGGCAACAGCAGCCGCAACAAAAAAAATTATATACAAATACAAGGACAGGTGTCTGCACTTCACATTAACAACAAACAAAAAAAATACATAAAAAATGTAGGACCAAAAAATTAGGTAGAACTTTTATCCTGCAATTACCTGGAAACGGTAACGGTCAATTAACAAAAGGACACGGGCTCCTTAATATTTACTGATTATTTCGGGAGCGAGTTTTATTGGAAAACAACACAAGGACTCGGATGCAGGACGGCGGCGTCGCGTTCGATTATTTCGGTCGGTTTTATTTATGCCCGATTTCTGACGATATATATAAATATATATCTGTAATATTGGGAGGGTGGCAGCAGCGAAACATTTCCGCGACGCGTATGCGGCGCAACTGAACTTGATTCTGGCGCGTCGAGCGCTGTTAAACTTGGACTTGGCCAAAACAAAAAAAAAGAGAAACGAAAGAAAAAGCAGGCAAAAGACACAAAACCCAAAACCAACAACAATTGAAAATTCAGTCTGCTGTGGCTGCTGCTGCTGCTGCTGTTGGCCAGGCCAAGAAACCGAATTACAACAACAAAGGCAAAGCGGCGACCGCCGGACTAGAAGCTGACGCCGAAGCTCAGCCCGCGTCTCTGCCAACGGAAGCTGCACATTTGCCAGGAGCTTAGTGAAGAAAATAGCAAAGGGGGGTTTAAATATATTAAGTACAGAAGAAAATTGCAAATAATATCCAAAATAAGTCTTATAATTATAGTATAAAGTGTGTAAAGCAGTAAAGGGTCCAACCCTATAAATCATATATATTCTTGATCAGCAGCAACCGCCGAGTCGATATAGCCATGTTTTTAAGAAAATTAATTTTAATACATTTTTTGAAAATTTTATAAGGGGTTACATCGTTAAAATTTTCAAAAATTGATCAAAAAATTTTAATTTTTTTTAAATTTCATATTAAGTATGCAGATTTATTAACCTGCTAAAAACCAACATAGAAAAGCTTTCCGAATTAAAATTAATGCCATTTTGACGTTGTTATGATATTTTAAAACATTGATTTTCCCGAAAAATGAGCATTTTTCAAATAATGATTTAAAGTCCCTTCACATAATTTAGGTCTATTATTATTTTAAACTGGCTCTCAAATTTAGATAATTTATTTTTAAAATTGTTTAAATTCGTCCTTCTAGAAGGGTATACAAACTTCTACTTCAAAGTTAGTTTTATTTCTTGTTTTCTTTCTTCCGATAAACTTTTGCAAGTAAAAGATTGAATAAAGTCAGTCGGAATCAAGAATTTAAAGCAGAATATTTAGTATAGGCCTATTGAATGGCCCCCCCAATTTTAGGGCGTTTGGCCACGCCCCTGCGAAACCGTAGAAGAAGCGCAGCGTCCAAAGGAAAGCAATAAGTGCAGAGGGAAAGCGAGAAAAGCTTAAGGGGCAGACGAAAGCTTATTGCTCTGACACCCCAATGGTTCGGGTCTTTGCTAAGTTGTGGTCGCAACCAAACTCGATTTAGTTTTTAAATTTCATTAAAATTAAACAATTTTATGCCGCCACATTTTCAACTTGTATAAATTTATTTCAATATACATTTCTGTGTGTGTGTATCTTTTGGGATGAATGGGTGTGAGTGAGTGAAAATTTCAAGTATTTCCTATGTTCTAAGCAAAAAAAAAGATATTTGCGTGACAATTGCCTTAAATTAGGTGTACGAAAAAAAAAATAGTTTTATATACGTATAGGTATATATAAAACAATAAATTTTAGTTGTACACTACTACATACTAAGACAGTGAGCGAGTGAGTGGGTGTAAAGTTATTACAAACTAGAATTTAGGCTTAATTTAGTTCCGGATTCAGACTTAGTTCCGGATTCATTCCTTCAGTTCAGCTGATGCTCTGGCTTCCTATTTAAAATGTTACTACATAACCAGCTAGACTTAAATTAAATTTGTTTAAACTATTGCTGCTGCGATTGCCTGCAAAATTTACTAAACGAGCGGCGTGCTGATGATCGTATTCTTCTGTTTTTTACCATAGATAAGAGCCTTGATTAGTTGGGATTAGTTGTTGGTTTTTGCTGATTGGTTTCCTTGGTTGCTTGGTTGTGTTGGATTGTTGTGTGTGTGTGGTGCGTGGTGTGTGGTGTATGTTGTGGTTGTGTTTTGCCTTTGGCCTTTTTGCCTTTTGCCTCGCTTCAGTCTTCGTCCTTGCAATATTGTCCTTCTTCTATCTGATGTTGGCAAACAGATTCAGCACCGATTTGTTCTCCTTCTGGCTACGCGCCTTGCTGAACACATTCCAAAAGCGTAGCGTCTCATCGCCAGCGCCGGTGACAATGGCCTCGCCATCGGGACTGAGGGCCAAGTAGAGAACCCTGTACGAATGGCCCGTCAGCTTGGCCACCTGCGTCAGCGATGGATACTTCCACACTAGGATTTGATTCTGCGAATAACCGTGCGTGGAGACCAGCTCCGAGGAGTGCTTGGACCAGGCCAGATTGCACACTTGCGATCCAGTGTCCACGCACTGCATGGGCTGGCCGGTGAGCGTGTTCCAGAAGCGAATGCATCGATCCGCCGTACCGCCGCCGCTGGCCAGCAGTCCGTGGTGATGCGGTGACCAGGCAATAGCCTTCACCGCCGCCATATGTTCCGTATACGATTGCACCGGATTCACTGAATGCTGATTCCACACATACAGACGATTGTCATTGCCGCCGCTGGCCAAGTATTGATTGTCCGGTGACCATTTCAAGCCGCAAACCTCCTGCCGATGGCCAGCCAAGCGGCGCTCTGACTGCAGCTGTGGCGTTCTGGTGTCCCGCTGGATGATCCAACGATCACGCGAGCCACTGGACAAAATGTCACTGTTCCAGGCCAGGGCTCCAACGCGCGCCGAATGGCCATTTAGCTTGTTGATCTGCTTGTTGGCCGCCACATCCCAGACGGTCACGTAGCCATGGTGGGTGCCCACAGCCACGGTGTTGCCGCGTTCGTTCCACGACACCGACGTCACCGTGTTCGCATCCGGACTGAGATCACACAGGCGGGTTACCTACGAAAGGAATGGGATATTGATTAGGATACATTAAGGTAACGAGAGAGGGAGGAACACTCACCTGACTGGTGCAGGCACTCCAAAGGTAGACACAGCTACCCAGACCCACGGCCAAAACATTCTGCGATGACCAATCGACCAAATTCAAATAGAAATCATCCTGCAGTTCGGGCGCATCGAGTACCTTGAAGGGAATGCGCGAGATCTTCCTGGTGGCCTTGCGTGGCGAACGGAGGAGCTTCTGGCTCTTGGCACTCACCGGGGACAGTGAGTAGGGACATTCGCCATTGTAGTCCTGTGAGGAGAGTTGAAAATATAGAAATAGTTGGGATTAGTTTATCGTTCGATTCAATTAACTGTTCCGGTGGCCCATGCAGCCAACCAAGAAATTGCTTGCTTCCCGATGGGAAAATATAAGCAAAAGGTAGTTGGTTTTTTGTGCGCAACGCGTACTTGGCGTTCGGCAATTAACGCCGCGGTGCTAAAACGCTGCGACCGCGTCAAAGTCTCCCATGTCTGCCCCATTCCCTGGAATCCACAAGCTCCTCCAATCTCCAAACCCTTCTCTTTTGTGCACTAAACAAAATAAGGTTATGGTATCTATATTTTCCCTAAATTTCTGCACTTTTATCATCTGAATTTTGGAAAAATAACAATAAACAAAATGTTTGTATAGTAAATAATTTAAAATATGGTATACAAATTTATGGGGCTTCATCCAAAGTACAAAAAATCATCAAAAACCTCTATATTTGAAATGCTGTAAAGACTGACTCTACTTTTCGTTCAGTGTAGGGGCCTTGTAATTCACATTTGGCACGCATTTCGCTTCCACTGGTAGCTCTAGGCCTCTATTTGACCATAGAAAATGCGGGCAGGGAAGTGTGTTAAGCGTATTCGTGAGATACTCAGGCCGCCAGTAATTCAGTAACAAAAAATTCAGCTTCACACCTTTTAGGTTTTTTATTGTATTTTTTTCTTACGCAAGAAATTACATTAAAAATGCGTGAGTTCAGCAAGCGAAATTTGTGCGTGCCAACGAAAAATGCAATGTGGAAATGTGGAAGTTGCGGGGAAACCATTGTTAAAAGAGTTGGAAAATGTAAATCAAATGAATAGAGGAGTGTGCTCAAGAATATTTGTATAAAGAATAGCTTTCGCTGGCATACAATGCCAAGAAAATATTCTAAATGCATTTATTTACTCTAGATGTGAGAATTTGCATGAATATATATGGACAGGAAGTAAACTTTTACTGATTGAATACAAATTAATGGGTTAATTTAAATCTAGATCAATTTAGTATACATTTATGGGTATATTTTGGCTCTATTTTCTTTCTTAATTTATGTAATATATTATTATAAATAAATATATCACTAAAACATTATTTAATGTAATATGTAAAAGAGATTCTTTAGTTTAGGATTTTAAATATTTAGCCTTACTTTCAGTTGTCTAACCTTGATTCCTGTTTCAAGCTTGTCTTAATTTTTATCTATTAACTTTACACACTTCTCCAACTTGAATTTTCTTTTCCCACATTAGTCAAGCACGACTCAAAAGTGACAAAGTTTTTTTTGGGAATAGCATTTGTCATTTTCTGGGTTGGTCAGGTTCTGTGGTATCGATTCCAATGATAAAGTGAGCAAACATCCCGACAAACACCAGACTTTTCAAAGATAAAAAAGGGAGTACGCAAACGTAGCTATCTCTGGCTTGAAACTTATCTTTTCTTTATATATATATATATTTTTTACCCCAAAGTAAAGTGAATCGAAGTGGCTCACCACATTGGGGTGTGCTTTGACCCGCCTCGAAAGGGGGTCATATTCGAAAAAAAGCACTTGACGTCAGCTCTCTTAATTCGTTTAGCAAATTAAAATTTAATTCAATTAACAGAAGGCAGAACAGAACTTAATTACAGAAACTGAGTGAGAGGCATGGGGTTTTTTGGGGATTACATTTTTGTTTTTCTCGTATTTTTTTAATAGAAAACTCTAAAGAAACGTGCGTGTGTGGAGCCCTTAATGATCGCTTAACACTTTGGCTCTCCTCCCGCCAAGACAAAAAGGAAATCAAAAATTATAAAAAGAAATCACAATCCAACAATTTAATGGTTCTTCAGGTCTTTGCTTCCATTTTTCTGGGAATGCTGACTATAAAAAGCAGTTAAAATAGCTGCGTGGTTTGGACATTAAATTTAAATGTTTTTCGATGCAGAGCAAAAAATAAAAGAGGCAAAAATAAAGCCATAAGCCTATTAGAAATTCAATTGTTAAAACGCTTAAAAGCACTGAAAACAACAATAAAAAAAGAGCTGCTGACAAATGGCAAGAGGAAATCCGTCAACTTGTAAACTGATTAAAATCGCACACGGGCGGCATTTATTTTTTGTTGTGTTTTGTCAAAAAACAAACATTGCCTGGGTTGGAGTTAACCTTTTGCTTTTTACATTTAATACTGTTTTTTTTTATTATTATTATTCCTCAAAAGTTTGTCTCTTTTCCGAGCTAAATTCTGGACTCATGGCACAAGGCACAAGCAAATGTTGCTGGTAAAAAGTGGCAAGTAGCATGTTGCTATACACTTTCCTAGCAACATTTCCTGTGCCTTCTGTTATGTTTGATTGTAGTTTTTATATTTAAGGCTTGAAACTATGAATAATAAGTATCTATGACCAATAAATAACTCTGAACACTAAGTATCTATAATCAGTAACTCTGATCAGTTAGTATCTATGAGCAGTAAGTAAGTCTGAATATTAAGTATCTATGACCAGTAAGTATCTAAGACCAGAATATATGTATGCTTAGTTACTAACTTTGAACACTAATAAACAATGACTTGCAACTTTTGTAACACAACACATGCCTGAGACGTGGCTGGTAGAAGCCACTTCGTTCCGGGGATGTTTGAACAAGTTGGGAATTATAAGCACAGATGTGCGAGAGTAACTATGAACCGTAAGTAACTCTGAACACTAAGTATCTATGATCAGTAATTCACGCTGAACAGTAAGTAAGTATGACCAGTAAGTAGCTATGAGCAGTAAATAACTCTGATCAGTAAGTATCTATGAATATTATTAACTATGATCAGTAAGTATCTATACTAGTAAGTAACTCTGACCAGTAAGTAACCCTGAACAGTATGTATGTATGTATGATCACTTACTTAATTTGAACACTAACCAACAATGACTTGCAACTTTGTAACACAACACATATCCGAAACCTGGCTGGTAGAAGGCACTTCGTTCCGGGGATGTTTGAACAAGTTGGGAATTATAAGCCCAGAAGTGCGAGATTTGTTTTGGAACAAATTTAAGCTATTTCAATGAAACTATGGAGTTCTTCTTCTATCTAATTTTACTAGTATATAAGTCGGAGCATGGCGAATCGGTGGACTATATATATATATGCATATATATAGCTGATATAGGAACAATCGGAAAATTTTAAGAATATATATAACTTTTCCAGTTTTCGACCGATTTTCATAAAATGTAATATATAGCCATTATATATTTATCTAGAATTTTGTGTAAATTTTTTGAAAAATCGGACGACTATATCATATAGTTTTCATACAAACGATTGTTAAAATAGGCATTACTTTATTGTTTCTAACATAAATATATATAATTTATATTGCATAAATTCGTAGTAATCGTATTTAAATCTGTATAATATTTTAGATCAATAACGAAATTTTTGGTTCATTGATACATAAATAAGATAATTAAATTACTTCTATGCCGTTTTTTTCGTCTCACTCAACGAATTTAAAAATAATAGAAATAATTTTCATATTTACTGTCAACCTATTATTTATTTATTTAATTAACAATGACTTGTTAAATAACCAGAAGCCATCACAGTACAGTGGAGTACAGTATGGTTCAAAACAGTATGGCTCTGTGAACAATACAATCATCATTCATTCATTTTGCTCAGAAAAAACATCAAACAAAAGGCAAAAATGTGAGCAGCTAAAAAAATGCCAACAAAAAACATAAATATATATATTTATTTTTATATAAAAACAAATATATATATATATATATATATATATATACAAGTTGCCGGCCGGCATTTGTTGTTTTTATCTCTCTCATTTTATGATTTTTACTCTCTTTTCTTTTTTAGCTTTATTCACTTCTGGCTGGTGGGCGGCGCTTCAAGGCAAGCTTATAAATTAAACAAATAAACAACCAACCAGCAGCGAGAACGAAAGAGAAAAATAAGAAACCTAAAACCAAAAATAAAATCTCCTATAAGGGGAGAGAGGGGAAAAGGGTTTAAGCCATGAACCTGTCGCTACGATCGGATCGGACCAACTTAATCACTTTGCTGCCACGAAAATAGTCGTAATGCGATGCTAATGCAAATGTCTGCTGCATAAATTAATAATTATAATAACAATAAAACGAACCATACCAAATGGTTAAAGAGTCCGGTGGTCATCGTCTCCGTCTACACCGTTTTCTATAATTCCACTTAATGGCTATTCGAAATGGCCAGACACAGGTACCAAACAGGTGGGTTTCGAAGTATTGTAATTAAAAGTAAAAGAAATTAAATTAACTAGCACGAAATTCTCAACTAGAAGACACAGACGAGAAAATAAACTGAGAGAATTAGCAAAGTTCTTAGGGAAGAATAAATAGATCAAAATAATAATATTTGAAGTCAATCAAAAATATATAAAATGAATTTAATATTAATATCAAATGAAAGAAGCAATTCTAATAAATACTTTTCTAATAAAAGGAACTATAATTCGAGATGCTCAACATGTTTCCAGAAACATTTGCTTGGCAACATGTTGAGATTTAAGTTTCTTAGCTTTCTTACTTGTTTGGTCTTTTTATACCCTTTGTAGGGTATTGCAATTTAAGTCAGAAGCTTGAAATGCAATGAAGGAATCATTTCCGACCCTATAAATCATATATATTCTTGATCAGCATCAATAGGCAAATCTTTCTAGCCATGTTTGAGAGAAAATAAATTTTTTCAAATTTTTTCTAAATTTTATAAGGGGTTACATCGTTAATTGACAAAAATTTCCAACCAATTTTGATTTTTTTAAATACTATATTTAGTATGCAGATTTATTTGCCTTCTAAAAACCAGCACAGAAAAGCTTTCCATTTTTAAATCAATCAATTTTTGACTTAGTTAGGAATGATTTCCTATTCTATTCTCACATTAAAATTGCAAACTAAATTTCGGCTTCACAAAGTTAGTTTCTTCTCTTGTTTTAGTTTTAAATAATTGTACCGCTAAAAAATAAATAAGCAAAATTCCGTATTTTTAATCCTAAACTGGAATTGTAATTTACTTTAATCAGTTCTCGAACTGCATAGCAACTTGTTGGTAGAAACATTATTTAGAAACATGTATTAATTCAGTTTTTTTAGCTTTCTTAATTCTCAAGGAAGAGAAAATAAATAGTAATCAACAAAATTAATTCATATTCAATACTAAATTGAACTCAATCTAACATTGATTATTAAGAAATGCTTAGCAACATTTTCTTGATCTTTTCGCCATGTTAAATTTAAGGATTTTATTATAACTCGAATAAGTCATAATTTTAAGACTTTACTTAAATTCACTAGATGGTTTTATTTTAAATTGATAATATTTGGGTAAATTCAAGAGCTCTAATTTAATTTTTCTTCCATTTTATATTGAATATACATTTCAATTTATTTTATTTTCAATAAGAACATTCCATACTAACATATATTCTATACCTACAGCTTCTCCCACAAATTCCCTGCAAACAATGGTCAGCTATTCATTGAATAACTTGAAGAAAAGAAACAATTCCATCTATACAGCTGCGTTGACTCGTCAATGAACCCACCAAAAAAGATATAACCGAAGAATCCCGAGAAACCAATCCCAAAAAACGCTTGCAAAAGTGTTGAGACCATATATTTCGGACCACTTCCTCAGCTGAACTACTGGAAAGATATAATAGGGGGTTGGGCTGGGTTCCCCCTTACATTATTTATGACAATAACTTTGCGACCGCACATAATTGAATTACATATTGTTTGTTGTGACCACAAAAAAAAAAAAGTCAGGGAGTCGAGGGGAGTGGCCCCAATATGTTTGCGTGTTAATTGTGTGGGCGTGATGTAGATGAATTACCAGTGATTTGTGGGTGAATAATTGCCGGGGGGACAGAAAATCGAAGCAATTGGCAAGACAACATTTGGCCCAAAAAATCCAAAGCAACGATCGCAATTAATCAGCACAGAGAAGGGGGAATATATATATATATATATAAACCAGCAAAAAGCATATTCAGCTTAAGTAGAAAAAGAGAGATCCATCCCCAGCTATTGACTCAAGTGTCGTTTTAGACCACTGAAGTAGTAGTTGAAGATCAACGTTGAACGTTGAACGTTGAATGGTCCAGTACGGTCCGGTTCAACCACTTCAAGCTGCGTCTCTTGCTTTCCATAATTTATATCAAATTATACCCTTTATTTTTCTGGGAAGCCATCATAGACTTTAGACTTCTAATGTTAACTCAAGCATGGAAAGAAAAATCATTTTATAAGCCATTAATATTATTTAAATGGAACTCATCACACAATATAATGTTTCCTATCCAAATCAATCTTTAAAATGCATTATTAAATACATTTGCATTTAAATTGCAATTAATATTAATGAAGCTTTATGCCTCTTTTGACTTTTGCCAGAAATCAAGTAGGAAAAGGGCTATAATACCTTTTTACATGTATTTTTATAAAGAAATTTAGTTATCAACATGCGAATTAGGTTGAAAAGTTCAATATTATATTGCAAACATTGTTAACTTCAATATATCAAATTTGTAAATATTAAAATTAATACTAATAATACTGATAGTATAAAAAAAATATAAGAACATTTTGATTTCCCCCTGAATTATGATCAATTTCCAATTCAAACCTATAAATAAATTCCAAACTGCAAATACTGTATAAAAACATTAGCTTCCCAAAATTAGTTTCCCTTTTTTTGTTAAAAAACTTCTTGAAAAAACTGAAATACAAATAAAAATGCTTGAATATATTTACTTTAAAGTGAAAGAAGTATTCAAAGACTTCTCATCAAACAAATAAATGAGTTATTCAATTAATTTAATTTCTTTCAAGACACCTTTTTTCGTAATAGAAAGAGTATTTTGTAGTTTCGCTGTTTTCCTGGCCTGATTTATGGCTCGATTTGAAGTGTGTTTGCTTGGTTGTGCCGCGTGTGTGTGTCTCTCGGCATTGCTCACTTATTTGTTTCCAAAAAACGGACGGAATTTTGACTCTGGCATTGTTATTTTTGTTATTATTATTGTGATTTCTGTTGGCTTCCTTGGCTTCTGCTGGCTAACTGGCTAAATGGCTAACTGGCAACGTGTCAACTGTCAAAAATCAGTCAAAGCAAAATAAATAGAAGGGCCACAAGAGACGAACATACGGACGTGATCCACACGTTTTACAAATATAAATATATATATGTTTATATATAAATATATCTTGAGGCAACATAAATCTGATAAGCAAGCAAATATGTCAGTAATAATAATTATAATGATGATGGGAGAGATCACCGGCGAAGCCACAATATCTAATGACAAGTGGCAATAGTTTACTTTATTCTTTTTATTTATCTTTCCTCACCATTTCTGGTTATTTTTTGTGGAGCGACACTTGAACAATCGTTTCATTTGGACCATTTTGAGGCTGTATATACTTATCTATATACAAAGATATAGATAGAAACACGTTGGCAATCATCATCACGTTCATTTGGAATCAGAAAAAAAGAGAGTGTGTTAACCTCAAGGCCTCCCAGCGGTAGTTTTCTCTCTTGGGTCTTAGGCCTAGGCCAAAAGCCAATGAGTTTTCACAGAAACCAAACCGGTTTCCTTTCAACTTTACTAGATAGATCAATAGATTGTAAAACAAGTGAAGAGGGAGGGAGGAAAAAGATGAGTTTTTCCAGCCGAAAAAAATGTCTTTGGAATGCCCAGAACAAGTTGTAAATAAAAGAAATCTTTCTACACTTCTTTTCCTTAATTTGTAGTTTAACTTGTGACTTTAAAAGCATTTCAAATTGAAGGAATCGAAAGAAAGAGATATATTATCCCACGATCCCAAATGGTTCATTCAACTCACTGCCCCTGTTGTGATCTTTTCAGCTTTTCTGTGAGCAAGAAAAACACGTACAAGAAAACCTCAATTAGCACCGACTGCAAATTCAATTAAATGCAATACTGCACAATGAATGGGCCTCCAGCCAAAAAGAACTTCAATCAAAAGTCAAATTTGGTGACCTTAGAAGAAAGAGCTTAGAGTCTGAGGAAAGGGAAACATTCTTCTTCAAAAGTGTCTTTTTGAGTTTCAATTACAAGTCTTGATGCCTTCTAAAGTCTCGTTTTTAGCTAGAGTTCCAATTACATGCCTTGATTATATGAAAAACTATATATTATCAAAGATTAGAATAATCCTAACTATAAACTACATATATCTGAAGCACTATCCCATACTATATCTTCATCTTAATTCAATCATATTATTATAGTCTGAGGAAAGGGAAATTTGTCTCCTTGGGAGATACAGTCTTGTAACGTATCTATGTATATTTTTGAGTACGAGTTCCAATTACATGCCTTGATTATATGAAAAACTATATATTATCAAAGATTAGAATCATCCTAACAATAAACTACAAGAACTGAAGCACTTTCCCATACTATATCTTCATCTTAATTCAATCAATTGATAGCAATTGAATATAGGTAACTAAGAAACTGGGAATTTGGCAAGTAAACTCACCTGTTTGGTGGGCGACTGATACTTGAAGAGACTCCTCTTGGCCGCCGGTGTGTAGGCGTTCTCATTACGCTCCTCACCGGCTGTCTTCACATCATCAATGGCGGATCCGAGGAGCTCGTTCTTCAGAAGACAGGAATAGGCTAGACTATCGCGTGCAGGTTCTCCACAATCTCGCTGCTTCTTGCTCGTCTGCGGTGAGTTGTCATTGGATTTGTTGATCGAGGCGAAGTTCGTCTGCCAGTTGTTGTTCGCTCTTCAGGGAAAAAAGAGGAAAAATAATAAAAGATTATATTATACATATTATATTAGCAGAGGAAAGAGCACGAAAAATGTTAATGCTAATGCAGAAATGAAAATGCCATTAATTATGGCCAGAACCAGGGAAAACTTTGCCAGCCAAAGGCATAGCCAAAAGGGGGAATTTTCTTAAAGAATTTCTATTCATGGGAGTGTTTTAACATTTAAAGATACGTTTTAGTTCAAGAAAAGAATGAAATATTATCTAAAATGCAAGTACAACTTGCTAACTTAAATATTTTATAAATAAATTATATATTTTTTGAACTGAATTACTTAAATACTGGTTGATTGTAATAGTAATAGACCCAAAAATATTGTTAAATGTATATTTCAATGTAATAGATATATAATAATCTATAAAACAATATTCTGTTTAATATATCTGAATTAAATAATCGAAAAAATTTACATAGAATTTAAATACAAGTATTTTTAAGTAATTTATCTAAATATATATTTAGATATTATAAAAATAAAATAAATTATATTTAGATATTTAAAATTGTATTAAACCAAAGTTAAAGATATTTTTGATATAGAATAGAAATTCCGCATAATATATGAGACTAATATAAGCGGAAAATAAACGATTACATTAAATTTAGATAAATTCAGTTATTTTTCAATAATATAGATTACTTCAAAGTTAAATGCTGCATTTTAAGATATTAAAAATAATAATATATCAAAGTTTATGATATTTTTGTAAGAGCAAAATATTTTATTAGACTTCTCCCTTCAATATATAAACTTTAGGTCTCTCTTAAGGCTAAAAGGAAGCCCCCTCTTCATTTTTTCTAGCTACGCTCATGTCTTTAACTTTGCCTCAATGCAGCAATGAGAAACTAAAGAACATCAAAAAATACTTTGGCCTTACATTAATAATTTATATACTTAAAAAATATATATAAAAAAAGAAGAAAGACAATCCACAGTGGAAGCGTGATAGAGCTCAGACTAAACACAAAATTTATGCAAATGCGTTCAAATTCAATTTTTGCCCCCCTTTTAGACTCATACAATTGTTATTATTTCTACCCCATTAAACATAAAAAACGTGTGCAACGTGCAAAAAAATTATTGACGGTCAAATTGTGCAAAATTTGCAAAAATAAAATACAAAAACACACAACATAAGGTGACAAATTCAAACAAATAATAAGCATTTTGCCATTGGAAATTTTGGCCAAGTGTGAGAGAGTTTTTTGTGTGGCAAATTGTCAAGTATTTTTTTGGCTAATAACTTCACCCACTCCCCACCACCCACCCCCCTTTCCAGGTGCAGTGCAGCTGCTTAGGAATGCAATAAGCGTTGCCCCTTTTTTTATTTTGATTATCTGGCAAACGCATTTGAAGTGCTCACTTCCACCTCGAATAAATCAAATTTCACACACAAACTGGAGAGCTTGGGGGACGCGTAGAGAAATACTATATATTTTTGTATATATAAAAGCACAATTTGTATTATAAACTGCAGGCGGCACGAATGACAATTCAATTAAAAAGAAGTCTCAGGTTGACAGGAAACTGAGCTCTCTCTCTCTCGGTTGGTCGCTGTATGTAACCGGAAGTATAATTACGTTTCTACGCAAATTAAGAAATGTTTCGTTATTTTATCTCATATTCAAATTCCACTGAACTTGTATCCGAAGAAACCTCGTGAGTGAGTGAACCCCAAATGAGTTTGGCTCAAAAGTTCAAATTTCCGCATTTTCCCATGAAGTTGTCTTTGGCTTTTGTTCTTCTTCTGAACTCATTAGCGAATCGGGGAGAGATATATGTACATATATACGGGTTAAAGAATATCTTTATGTATAATTTATATAGAACACTATATAATCAACTTGCCAGAGACACGGTTGTTAAATGTTGGGGATCAGTAAGTATCTATGAGCAGCAAATAACTCTGATCAGTAAATAAGTATGAGCAGCAAATAACTCTGATCAGTAAGTAACTCTGAACACTAAGTAACTCTGATCAGTAAGTGTCTATGACGAGTAAGTAACTCTGAACAGTAAGTATCAATGAATATTATTAACTATGATCAGTAAGTATCTATACCAGTAAGTATCTATGACTAGTAAGTATATAAGACCAGTATGTATGTATGATCACTTACTTAATTTGAACACTAATCAACAATGACTTGCAACTTTGTATCACAACACATGTCCGAGACCTGCCTGGTAGAAGGCACTTCGTTCCGGGGATGTTTGAACAAGTTGGAAATCATAAGCACAGATGTGCGCGAGTAACTATGAGCCGTAAGTAACTCTGAACACTAAGTAACTATGATCAGTAATTAATGCTGAACAGTAAGTAAGTATGACCAGTAAGTAGCTATGAGCAGTATATAACTCTGATCAGTAAGTATCTATGAATATTATTAACTATGATCAGTAAGTATCTATACTAGTAAGTAACTCTGACCAGTAAGTAACCCTGAACAGTATGTATGTATGTATGATCACTTACTTAATTTGAACACTAATCAACAATGACTTGCAACTTTGTAACACAACACATGTCCGAGACCTGCCTGGTAGAAGGCACTTCGTTCCGGGGATGTTTGAACAAGTTGGGAATTATAAGCACAGAAGTGCGAGATTTGTTTTGGAACAAATTTAAGCTATTTCAATGAAACTATCGGGTTCTTCTTCTATCTAATTTTACTAGTATATATATCGAAGCATGGCGAATCGGTGGACTATATATATATATGCATATATATAGCTGATATAGGAACAATCGGAAAATTTTAATAATATATATAACTTTTCCAGTTTTCAATATATTTTCATCAAATTTGATATATAGCCATAGTATATTTATCTAGATTTTTGTGTAAAATTTTATACAAATTCCCATACAAACGATCGTTAAAAATAGAGGAAAATGCAGGCATTACTTTGTTGTTTTTTAATATAAATATATATAATTTATATTGCATTAATTCCTAGTGATTGAATTTCAATCTGCAAGGGTATACAAAATTCGGTGTGCCGAATTTAGCTTCCTCTCTTGTTTTTATTTTAAAACTATATTAGATTCCATCTTATAAACTCATAAAAATAAATAGAAGTAACTTTAAAGTTATGTTGGCAATGTTTAATGTTCGTGTTTGTTTGTTCTTTGTTGCTATTTATTGTCTTTAGTGCTTGTGGCATGTGTTGTATTACCGTTAGCTAAAAGAGGCCCAGCCAGGCGGGAAATTTATAGTTTTTTTTTTGTGTTTTTTTTGTATCCGCTGCTGTTTATTCTTTGGATTTTTGTTGTATTTTTCGCCTTGTAAGCGGAAAAGATGACGTGGCAGAAAGAATTAATGGCTTGCGGACAGAGTTCAATGCACTTTGACCAGTTTTCTTTATAAGAATTACAAAAACATTATAAAAATAATATTAAAGAAGTAGAACTTTATTTACTCTTACAATTTGCAATAGATCGAATGGCAAATCGGTCATAACTAAGGCAAAAATGCTTTGATTTCAATTTGGAAACCTTTTATGAGTTAGTTTTTTGACGGGTAATAAATCTGCATACTAAATTTAGTATTTTAAAATATAAAAATTTTTCGGAAATTTTTTGTCAATTTTTAATGATATAACCCCTTCAAAATTTTTGAAAATATTTGAAAAAAATTATTTTCTTTCAAACATGGCTAGAAAGATTCGCCTATTGATGCTGATCAAGAATATATATGATTTATAGGGTCGGAAATGATTCCTTCACTAAGTTTCAAGCTTCAGACTGAAATTATAATACCCTAAAAAGGTATACAAATTATATATATTATGGGATGTATCTGTTAGATACAATTACTTTTGCATTGAACATAATTTAGTTTAAGTACTATAGAATTAATTACAATAAAGAGCTCATTAATATAAATAAAATATTCAAAGCTGATCAATATTTTATATTGTTATATTATAATGTAAATGTTATTCTGCTTAACAATGAAAATTAACTTCAATAACTATTTGCATATGAGCAGAATCCATCAAAAATGATATATGTGCAAAGATACTATATCAACAAATATAATATTAGTTTTAAGAACAAAGCCTCATGATATTATAACACCTTAAAACCCATTTTGAAAAGAAATAAAACCCTAAACAGAAATAAATTCTACCGAAAAACCCCAAAAAACAACATTAAATTTATAATTATAACCCCTCCTTACAAATATAAACCCTAAACGTATTTAAATACTCTCAAAATTCCTTTCAGAAAAAGGAACAAAACTCACCTGCATGGTATGAAGCGATCCAAGGATGTGGGCGTGGTGGACGACTCGAGATTGTCAAACAGATTCCTTGCCACAGGACTGCAGTGCTTCAGGATGCGTTTCTCATATTCGGGACTGAACATTTTATCGGCTGCGCAACGCTAGCCGCGTCTCTCGTGTATAAATTTCACTTCAACAATCAACAAAACACAAAAACCGAAACAAAACTATGGTAGTATAGGGTACCACTAATAATTAAATTTCAAATTTATACAAATTCAAAAAAAAAAAAAAAATTAAGTACTGTTTGTATTTCAAACTCCAATAAGAAGTTGTTAGCCGCAGTTAGTCTCCGATGTGATTAGAAAATATATATATTTATATACGCGAGTGCTGCAAATAAAATAAAAAAGAGAAGATACAACATAATTAATTAGAATTGTGTGGTGTTCCTTTTCGAATTTAAATAAAATTGTAATTTATTTGTGGTGTTTTCTCGTGTTTCTGCTACGACGACAGTTTGGCTTTAAGGCCATTAATCAATGTCTCGGGATGTGGGATTGGGCTTTGGGCCTGGCTAATCAGTCCGGCAATTGCCTTTCTATTTTCGGTTGTTTTTCGCACCCATTCTGCTTTTGGGGGCGTATCAATCACCGAATAGATTTAGGGGGAGCCCTCCTCCACTGTTGCCTGTCATGTATTTTGGATGTATCTTCTCTCAGTTGCGCTGTGCATACGGATCGAAGCCAGAGATACTTTTAAAACAGATATGGGCACAAAGTATAGTGAAACGAGCCAAAAACCAACATGAGAGGGACAAAATTTGCAAGGAAAAGTAAGTATTCTTTATGTGAAACACAAAACACACATAAGGGAGTCTAAATAACTTTAAAACATTAATTAACAACTGTATCTTTATAATATTTAAAAGCCATATGCCTGAAAACTAATATCAAAAACAAAGCTAAAGCCAGCTTTAGGGTTTCCTGAACTTTCTGGTTGAAAATAACCCTAGTAAAAGCCATCAGATTTTGCTAATTAGTGATCTATTGCAGATTCCTTTACCAAATTTCTTCATACTTTTATAAATATATAGTTTATGGCTTCCCCCTTTCGTGTCCGAGTGTAATTAACTTATGGGCGTTAAGTGTTGCTTGTTTGCGGCGGGTGCAAGATCTCTTTTTTCTATTTTTTTGTACCCCTGGGTAGGTGTTTTCATTCCCTCATTATTTTCATTTCATTTTTCCCGCTGACCACAAGAGCGTAACCAGGAAAACTTACTCAGGCCAAACACTTCCGCGTTGAGGATGCCAGAAATTACAAATGCCACTCGCTGGTTACTTGATTTTCACATTCGTGACTCTGGCAATATTATTTTTACCAGATATTGTTAATAGAAAATATATATATACATATATATTTATATATGTGGAGTGAAAATATTGACTGAACGGTTTGGCGAGCGAGACTAGACTGAGCTTGAGTCCGGAAAAGCCGGCGAACGACAGGTTTTTACTACTGACTGATTCAATCCGGAGAACTAGATTCCCGTTATCGGCAGGGTTTCCCTTCCCTGGATTTACTTTGTTTATGGAAGTTACAGAGTTACTGGAGGGGTGTACATATATGTATATATAGAGATAAAGCGGTATGTTGACTCGCAGGTACCGCCCTCGGTTTGGCAGGTACTGGGAAATGCTGATAAGACCCGCGAGCTGAAAGTAAACACTCATTTCCCAAGCCGACAACGAATAATCCATGACTCAAGCCCCGGGACATCACAGTAATTAAAGCCGGCTCGTTCATGTCCACGTCGGCTGATAAGCTCGAAATGGAGCCAGTAGCCTCAGATATTATTATTAATAATAATAATATGAACCGAAAGGGAGAAGGGTTCTTTGGGTTGCATCAGAGCCCCCATCGATTCGTTGGTGTTTATTACAGACGTGTGAAAGTCTCAGTTTGGAATTCGATTCGTTATTTAAATAAAAAAATGAAAAAACAGGGGTTTCAAGTTCAATGCAAATATGCTACACATAAACAAGACTTGTCTTTCAATTACAGAAGGGTAAATGCATTCCCCGAAATCGAATAGGAAAATGATGAATGATCAGTGTTTGCGGTCAAGTTTCACAGAAATTTAAAAATATTATATTATCACATTTATTTTAAATTGAAAACGAATATTAGCGTACAAGATTAAAGAGTTTAAAATAAGATAAAATAATAATAAAAACAATTTTTGTTTTAGTTATCAAAATAAAAGCAATAAAAATACAAATTTATTTTTTACTTTTAAGAAAAATAAATAAATATTTTACTTCTCACTATAAAAAAAAAATATAGAATGTTTTAGTTTACTTTTCACAATATTAAATAAATATTAAAACAGTTTGCTTTACTTTTCAAAATAAAAAAAATAATGACAACAATATTTGTCTTACTTTTCACAATAAAAAAATAAGAATAATAATAATTTCCTTCATTTACTTGTTCACCATAAAAGAAATGTAATACCCTACCAAAAGAAAGGGAATATTTATGGGGGGTGATCCCACAGTGCAGTGCCACCCCATTTCACACGCTCGCAACTTCGCTAGCTCGGACTCTGTCGCACCCAGTGCATTTGGTGGCCTTCGGTGACACGTCAACGGGGGAGACTGACTTGCAACTGCATGCAACCCGCATTTATATTGCCTCCTCGCTCACACTGCCTGACTCTCCCACCTTACCACTCACTCCCTCTCTTTCTCTCTCACTATCAAGCTACCGCTGCTGCTAACTCTCAAACTCCCCCTCCCTACTAAACTCCCACTGTCTCTTGCCTTTTCTAACTCTGGCGGCCTCTTGCCCTCTCTAACTCACGCTCCCTCTCAAACTCCCTCTCCCTCTTCTATTAAACTCCCGTTCCCACTCCCTCGCTCAATCAAACTCCCGCTCCCTCTCTTGGCCACTCTCACTCGAGCTCCCCCTTGCTCTCTCTCTCACTCTGGCATCCATCCCTCTATATGCACTGATCAAGGACTATAAACTTGGCCTGCTGCCATCCCTTTCACTCTGCCGTTGATCTACGGCACTCTGTTTAGTTGTGTATGTGCGTGTGTGTGCGTTGTGCTTGTACTATTTTTAGGGTGTCTGACTTCCAAGAGTTTGGGATTTTGTCGATAATCTTTGCTTTTTCTTATATTTCTTTTTTGTATTTCCCATGAACACATGCCGAAGGTCAAGAAGATAATGAGCTCTGTGGGAGAAGAAAATTCCAGCGGTTATAAATAAAGTAAAGCGTCAACCCGACCGCAAGGGGATGTGGTCTGTAAGTTGATTCTTTACCTCGCTTTATTTTCTTCATTCCTTATCACACCCCACACACGGACAGCCAGCCATGATAACGGGCCACAGACAACAACAGAAGCAGCAGTTTCACATCGCAGCCTTCAACCCCCCTTGTGAGAAGGAGAGAGGATGTGACAGAGGGTGTGCTCGTGGCTCATGTAGAATAATCGATGGCCAAGAGCCGAATAAAATTATGTCAAGGACATCAAATCGGCTAAAAAAACATACACTCTGCCTTCAAACTATTTAACTTAACAATTTGCAAGCACATCCAACTAAGGCAGCCTCCAGCTGCTAATACTATTTATTATTATTGGTTTTACTATTCCTATTGAGCAAGGGAGAGGGAGATCGTGTCGTGCGCTCGCGCTTACGCTACACTCTTGCCCTCTTGCTCGCACACAATGTACAGCTAGCTAATAGTGCAGCGGGTAGCAATGGAAAAAAAAGAAGAAGAAGAAGAAGACGAGGGCAAGACGGTTATCTGTGCCAGACGTAACTGTTAAAACCGCACACACACAAACACACACACATACGCATAGGCATGTACTAGCACTGACTTGCACTTTGGCAAATGTTTTAACTTCTGCAATGCTTCACAATTTCACACTTACTTGGAGACTTTTTCGCGCTTACACTGGAAAAACGGTTAATTTTGATTCCTCAGCCGCCGCCGCCAATTCGACGCGACGCTATGCGATGCTACGATGCGACGCGGACGCGTTTGGTTTGCCGCACCACTCCGGAAAACCAGGCAACTCCCGCTCCAGGGGGGTGGTGGTTACTGTTGTTGTTTGGAGTTACGCTACTACGACTGCTGGTGGGCGGCGGTGCTCGACGGGCGGGTTTTGGCGTCTGCGGTAGTGCGCGAGTCAGGCGTTTACAACAAAAGGCACCGTTTTTTTCTCAAGCGTTTTCCTCTGCCGACGTCGAGTCACGAACAGCTGATGGCCGATAGCTGCTGGTATCGATGGCACTATCGAAGAAGAAGAGCAAATATCGATATGGGGTTTCTGAATAAGGCGTTAGGTATTTATTTTTCAACATTGGTTTCACTTCTTGATGAGATGCTAGGTGGTTTCAATTAATTTATTATAAATAAAGGCATATTATTTATATCGATGTCTTGGAACTGATTTCGCTTCGTGTTGCAGTTTTAAAGCTAGCAGCTGAATGCTGTGCGATGGTTACGCTATCGATAATATTGAAACCTATATTGACTTAAGCAATGGCACTATCGCTTGTTTTCAAATTATTGCATTAGTTTGGCGCCAATCAAAAAAATAGGTCTGCAAATGTATTATTTGAATTTTTGTTACTTTCGATACAAGCTAATCTTTATTTATTTCAATTTTAATTGACTTTATTTTAAAGTAAAGATTGCTACCGATAGAAATCGTAAGGGCATATCATGGACGCAACCCTTTAGCCAAGACATTTACTACGGGCTGCATGAAAACAAACGCCCTCTGCCAGCAGGAGCTGACAGCTTGAGTTAGCAGTTCAAGTTAACAGAGGTTTAAAGTTAACATAAGCTTATTACAGAAATTATTTAACAGAGCCTGTTAATAAGGCGCCAAATTTAAATTCAAATTAAAAACGCTCAAGCAACGCTCAAGATGGTGTTAATTTAAGCAACTGTAATTAAAAATTAATTATCATGACATTTATACCGTAAAATGTTGATTTCAATTGTTGCAATTGCCTTTTAAGAATATTTTATGTAATAGTGTAGTTTTTGATTTATATATTTAAAAATAATTAAATAAAAAACATTTGAATTAAAATACTGTATAGTTTTCCTTGACAGATAATCTTCTCCCATATATCTATTATAACCAAAGCAACATATTGTAAAATTATATAGAACAATTCCATAGTTTCATTCTTAAATTTGCTCCAAAACAAATCTCGCACATCTGTGTTTATGATTCTCAACTAGTTCTAACATCCCCGGAACGAAGTGCCTTCTACCTGGCTGGTCTCAGACAAGTGTTGTGTTACAAAAGTTGCAAGTCATTGTTTATTAGTGTTCAAATTAAGTAAGTGATCATAGTTAATTACTGATCATTGTTACTTATTGGTCATAGATTCTTACTAATCTGACTGAACTGATAATACCCTGGAAGGGTATAAAAAGGAGGACTTGCGGCCTCACGCCGTACATCATAATGGCCACGTGGGAAATCGGCCAGATTGCAGGATTGGAAGCGGGTCACCCAGATCAGATATAGCTGCGACTCTGGGCTATAGCTACAGCAACATCTACCGATACCCTTGTGCTCCTTCCCTCCCATCACTCCCCCCTCCAATCCCCGATTGATTCTCAGAAATTGTGAAATCTCCGGGCAGACGCTAATCGCAAGGAAATCAATTTTAATTGTTATTGCGACTATTTGTACAATTGTTTACAATCATTGCGAGATTCGCCGCCAATAATTATATAAAATATGCATGCGAAGAGTGATCAGGGAGGGGAGTAACATATATAAAAAGGTTTTAGTGATAGGAATTTATATATCGAAGGGGAAAAATCTGATAAGATCAAAATATTGAACTAAATCTATTATTAAAAATATTGTTTACTTTTCTAAATCGAATTTTATAATACCTAAAATTATCACATTTACAATTTAAATATTAATATTATCAAAAATATTAGAGAATCAATTCCACAATTAGACAACATATCAATTAATTGCAACTTTGAAATAAATCTATACATTTGTTTATAAATATGAATTACTTTTTACAATCCGTAGCATTATCTGTTGTTTTTTATTGTTATTTTTATTTATGTCACATTTTTGTTTGTTTTCAGTTTTCAAATCTCTGCTTATATTTTGATTTCATTATCATTTTCGTTTTATTTTTGGTCAATGATTAATTGATGAAAATGATTGAAATGCGGTTAATGATTTATTTTGAAATCGCAATCCTAATCGTACTATATAATAGTACACACCCTTAGTACAATTGTTTGTGTACAGTTGAGGGGAAAATAATAGTATACAATTTGTTTAGGTTTTATTATAAAATATAAAAAAATGATATAAATATATAAATATATATATATATAAATTACTTTATACATGAGTGTATCTATGTATCTTTGTATTTATCAAAGTTTATATTTATCCATGTTTATATTTATCCATATTTATATTTATCCATATTTATATTTATCCATATTTATATTTATCCGTATTTATATTTATCCATATTTATATTTATCCGTATTTATATTTATTTATCTATTTGTATATTAATTTATCCATCTATCTATCCATTTATCCATATATCCATCTACGGATCTATCCACCTATCAATCCATTTATCCATTTATCGTTCTATCATTTATCCATATATTTATCTATCCATGTATCCATGTGTCCATCTATCCATTTATCCATCTATTCTCTTATCCAGTAATACATTTATCCATATATCCATCTATCCATCTATCCATCTATCCATCTATTCATCTATTCATCTATCCATCTATCCATCTATCCATCTATCCATCTATCCATCCATCCATTTATCCATCTATCTATTTATCCATCTAAGTAAAATACTACTAAATCAATTATTAAATTAATTATCCCATATTAATCAATGCTATTTCCTTGCCCCCAATTGTTGCATATTAGTGGAAAGTGTGGCATATAGTAAACACAATTCTGTTTACAACTCGAGGCACCACGCGCCGTTCAAGTGATTCCTCTTGCTGTGTTTCTGTTTCGGTTTCAGCTTCTGTCTCCGATTTTTCATAGAGGAAAAGTGTGGAAATGGCAAATGGAAAATGGCAAAAAGCTCCGACTTTGCCGCGGGGTGAAAGGTCAGCGGTACAAAGTCGCACGTTTTTCGGGTGGGGTGCAATGTACCCGGCTCAAGCATGAGGTGGGGAGGAGGGGATTGCCCAAGGTCGCCAGCCGGCCAGACGGAGTGCAGACAGGATCCCCAACTCCCCGATAACGAATCCCGACCACCAACGATTCCGATTCCGAACGAACACACACAGGGACGGAATGGGAGTGGAGTGGAGGAGCAGGAGTCCACGGGCACGGGCACGGGTACGGGTTGGGGTCCGGGAGATTAGAGATGGCTTTACTTGGTACTGGCAACCCGGGCTTTGTGGGTCAGTGGTTCCTCATTTCATTGACCAATCGAACCTTGAATTACTTGGCGTAAACAAATCGCTTTTTTCTAAGTATTAATCATGGGTTTAGTTACATCAATTAGGACGAATTAATATATATAAAAAATATAAATAATTAAATATATATTATATAAGAAAATATATATTTATATATACGATGAGATATAGTAATTAATTCGCGTAGTTATTAGGTACAAGTAATTGAAATAGAACAACTAATTGTTGGGTTTATATTATCTTGATTCCAGGGAATAACTTTAATTTTTCTTAAATATATTTTTATAAAATATTTTATATATCTTTATATAAAAATATATACATTATTTTTTTAATAAATTGTTGATGTATTTATTTATAATGAGTAATTAAAACGAAGAACTTGATATTAAGGTATTTATTTATTTTAACAATCAAATTTTGATTTGATTTATTAAATATTTATATATTAAATATATACAATATTTTCAATACGATATAGAATATTTATATTTTAACATTAAATGTCATATGTTTTCATTATATATATTTTATTTCAATATATTTTAGTAGTAAATATATTTTAAAATTAAATGCAATCATTCTGTTTGATTCCAATTTGGATTTATGAACATTTGAAATATTTTCGAAATTATATACACTCTTAAAAAATATTCAATAAATATTAAAACAATGTATTGAATATTTTTTCAAGAATAGTTATAAGATTTATTACATATTGTTAAAGATTATATTGGACTTTAACTTTAAATGCTTTCTTTTACATTTAAAATTTTTCAATATCAAAGTAATTACTAATATTGTAAAGTTAAATACTTTAATTTGATATAAATCCGAATATAATATAACAAAGTTGATCATATTTTCTGTATTTTATTGATTCTAAATATTTTTTGTTAATTTTTTATATAGTATTATTCCTCTCTATAAAAAGATATAACACCTAAAACCCATTTAATTAAACCAACCTGAACTTAATGCCCTGAAATGTATTCAATTTATGAGTTTAAGAAATATATATATATATACAGATGGGATTTATGCTTGAATTGGGTAATTCTTAGTTAGAAATCAACTTGCACTCTCTCACTAAACTGGGTTCAAGGTCCATTTTTAGATGGGTTTCGGGTTCAAATACAAATTCTCAGGTTCAGGTTCAACTCAAGTTCAGGCACGGGCAACGTTTGCGGTGTGGTGTGTTTTGTGTGCCAGACATTGACCTTGAGGCCCTCTTAACCGATTGCAGTTCATTGGCAGCCACCACCCACCGAAGGCCAAATGGAGGAGAACATGGAGGAGACCCCCCAAAAAAATAAATGTGTGTCTATGCCCGCTGCTTTCCTCTCGATTGTTGCTCTTTGCCTCTTGCCACCCCCCAAGCTACACCCACCAACACCACCCACCAACACCACCCACCACCCACCACCCACCACCCACAGCATCAACACCCCCGGCAACAACGTGTTGTTCTTATATTTTCCTTTTTTTTTGGGGTCGTTCGGCGACAGTTTATTGACATCGAGCGATAATTTCATCTGGTTTTCTCTTCTACCTTTTTTTATTTTATTTTGCACAACGAAAACAGTGAAAAAAGAATCTTGAATATTTAAATGCGAATGGAAATGGGAATAATATGCAAAAGGTGTGTGCTACCCCTAAAAATAGAGACAGAGAGTCCTCATTAAAAATCAAAATACTTAAAAAATGTGTGCGTGTGGGAGGGAAAAACATAAAGGAATATTTGAGTGAAATAATTGGTAAATCACTTGGAAGTCATTGAATAATTTATATATAAAATGTGTCTATTAAATTAGAGGAAATTTGAAAGTAATAATAGTAATAACTTCATTTAATGGAGTACGAAGTTGACTATTAATGATAGGAACATAATATAATATAGATTATACCTTGCCTTCCCAATATTATAATAATTTTGGTGTAATTTTGTACATTTCCTTTTAATTTCTCTCGCATTTAATATATTTCTAAAACCCTTTTCCCTCAATTAAAACTACTGCTTCATAAAGAAAGAATAAATCAAGAGCTCATAAAATAAAAACAAATATTGCAGTGCCCAATTGTTTATTATTTACGCTTAATTGTTTATAAACTTGCGCTTAAGAATAACAAGAATAATACTGATATCATTTCTTGGAAGCAACAATAATTTGAATCAGCTTTTAATATGAAAACAAATGCTATTATTGTTTGTGATGGGTCACAGTAACCAATTCTCATAATTTTAATGTAACCTTTTAGTTATAATCAATTGTTGGTTAAATATAAATAAAGAAGACTAAGTCTAAGACTAGGGAAAAATTAGCAAGGATTTTTTGAGGAGGATTTCGACCTTTGTTGTTGTAATCTCAGGATCGCAGAGTTGTCACATCTCTGTTTCCAAATTTGTTGTGGAATAATTTTTGTAAAGTTAAAGGAATCGTCAAATCATTTGGAGTTTTAGATGCTGATTATCTTAGATATATCTCTAAGCATCTGATTACAACATATGCATAAAAGTATTACAACATATTTATGAAAATATTTTAAATGTAATAAATAAATGGAATATTGCATCATTATTTTGGTAACATTTATAAATAACATTTACTTCCAAGTAACTTTTAATTGCATTGCAAAGTTCAATTTCGCTAGAATGGCAATTGTTGAATTGTTGTTGTTTCTGTTGGTGTTTTGTTGTTGTAATTGTTGTTATTTATTTGTTGTTGCATATACATATATTATGATTGCAGACTGTTGTCGTCTAGGCTTTTGGTATCAACAACAAACACCAGAGCGAGACTGAGGCACCTCCTCCAAGCTTCTGGGTCAATAATCTGCGTCTGAGCTACGAAGAGTGCTACTATGTAAGGCGGCTTGGAGTTCGGTTCTACATATTATAGCAAATATAGATGGACTGCTGATTGCCGTACATGTCAATCAATGGAGATCCAATTTTAGCACAAGTAAACAATATTCGCTCGATCGCTCCTGGGCCGCCCCCCCTTGTCGCCTTGATTGTGAGGGGGGGGATTGGGGGCGACAAGTGGACAGATTTGTGGCGCCTCCCACAGGCCGCTTATCTGGGTGCTCTGGGTAGAGGAAAAAACCAAGAGCCTGCTCTTGTTTTTCCCAGAGACCATCTGACTTGTCAGTGTTTAAAATCGATTAGTTAACGATGTATATCGAAAAAGTTAAGATTTTCAAGGAATAAGTATATCGATAGTCAATTGCTTTAATTTGATATACCTTGCTATTAATTTTAAACAGAATTGATGTATTCATATCATTTGAGAGAGAAAATATCTAGCTATATCTGGTGCTACCTATCGATTCATTCATCCAACGGTTATCGATCCCATCCGATTTGTTTCGATTCGATTCGATTCGTTGACCCTGACGTAGCTCGCCTCCCGTGTGGGACTTCCCACCTTGGACTCTGGACCGCATTGCGTATTGCTCATGGCGCCGAGCTTCCTTCACCACATCACCTCCTATCGCCAGAGGCACTTCGTCCAACCAACCAACCAATAACAATCTGCCCCTGTCTGTCGTTTGCCTTCTCGACTTCTTGGTCTCTCCCAAAACAACAGATGCCGGAGGCATACACAGAGAAAAATATCATTCAGAGCTTAAATTCAAATGATTTTTTAAATTAGGTAAAGAAAGTCATCGAATAAAATGGATGTATTATCAAAAACCCGAAATTATATCATAAAATATATCATAACTCCGCCAAAAATGCATTAATTTCCAATCGGAAAGCTTTTCCATGTTAGTTTTTAGAAGGTTTACAAATCTGCATACTCCATTAAAAATGTAAAATTTTTGTCAATTTTTGAAAATTTTGACGATGTAACCCCTTATAAAATGTTGAAAAAATTGACAAAAAATTTGTTCACCTTCTTTTTACCTAGATAGATTCGCTGTTGATGCTGATCAAGAATATATATACTTTATAGGGTCGAAAATGGTTTCTTCACTGCCAAACAAGCTTCTGACTGAAATAATACCCTGGAAAATCGATATCTTTTAAGCCTTTTTTCGATATTTGAGATAACACCATAAATTCAAAGAATCCAAATCTAAAGATTTTGTTTATGTTAGATGCTTTAAACTTTATTTATTGTTTATTATTATTCTCAGTACAAGCCTTGGCTTATCTCGAACGATGACTTAGAGCACACGGCCTCTCCCTCTCCCTCGCTCAAGCTCTATCTCTTTCTCTCTCTCTCTCTCCCTCTCTCACTCCCTCTCTATCTCTCTGACTCCCTCTCTGTTGTTTTCCTCTGGCAAAGAGCGAGAGATTAATGCTAAAAATAGGGATCTTTTATTTTGAATCGAAACTAGATCACGTCGAATTCACGTTGTCGTTGTTTACGGTTTTTTCACTGACGGACAGACGGACAAACGGACAGACTGGGGGCAGGCGTAACGCCCCCGTCTCCGAAGCTGTGTCAGCTGGGCTGTCGGTCCCATCGGGCTTCCGTTCTTCATCGGCTACAGTCGTCGTTGACTTCGCAGTCACCGTCGCCGTCGCAGTTGGAGTCACGGCAGCGCCAGCGTTGGCAGCAACAAAAACATCAACAAGCTTATCGCTCCGAACATTATCTGTAAGCCAAGCCCAAGACCCCGGAGCGTGTCCGTATGTAGGGTATATCTCTGGGCGTATATATGTACAAATATAGCAACAGTTTTGTTTTCAAAAATACCATATCTGATCCTAAAGTGATCCTTAACTGATCATTAAAATATCATTGCACACTTATGGTGAGTTTATATTATTTCAAAATGCAAATCTCATCAGAGAATCATATTTAATAAATAATACAAATTCTACAGGTAATTTCCACCAATTATGCAGTTCAACAACAACAACAACCACAATCGTTGGTGAAGTCAACTGTTGGTGAGATGTATGATAATATATTTATTATTTAAACTATATCTATTCGCTAATGAAAGAACATTTTAGTGCTAAATGTTTTTTTTTTTTTGTAATCCTCACTTTGACACATAAAAATCCATAAACAATTCGAATTTAGAAAGACATCACACGTTGCATGTCAGCCAATAATTAACACAAAAAAAGAAAATAGTTCCCGATCTCTCTTAACGGGTTATTTCAATTGAACAATTGCAATTAATTTAACAATAATCAATTATAATTGTTAAATTGAGGGCAAGTGGCCACGGAAATATATGCAATAGAATTTATGGAGTATATGGTTTTTGGAGCGATCCGAAAGCTGAACTTTGTCGTTACCGTTAATAAGGAAAATGACATATCAACAAGTGCATATAGAGCGTGGATGCTGCCTGCTGATGGATTTACTCTAGTTGCTGCTCGTATTTGATGCTATTACTAGTATTATTATTATTAATACTATTAGTGTTGCTGTTGTTGTTGTTGCTGTTGGTGAGTTGGTATTGTTGTAATTGATTCCGTTGGTGTGTGCTGCACACACAGCAAACACACACGAACGTGACCAGCTGCTTGTGGGTACCTTGCTCAAAAGGCAATCTTATTAATATGATTATACCCATTGTATGGTTTTTATACAGTTTGACTTTCCTAACTTAGAACATTGTAATACAAGAAATCAAAAAATGAGATTATATTTTAAATTGGTGAAGAATTATCATCATCGAAACATCTTGGTTTTTCGTTGAGTGTTAATAGTTTTAGTTTAGGAATAATCAGTTAATCAATTAACACTCTTAGTTGTTTCTTAAGCCTCAAATCCCTTTCTTCTGGGTAACTTTCGAGTTGTAGAATTGCTGTAGAGTCTGAAGATTTCGAGTTTACCAACTGGTTTTACGAAATTAATTGTCTGTGATCTTTAATTAAAAATATCAATACGATGACTCCATCGATAGATGGATGCAATGATCATTTTATAATAAGATTACTTAGTGATCTTAAGGAAGAACTTCAAAGTTGTAGAATTGCATAAATCTAAAGATTTTGAAATACCCAACTCTATTTTAAAACCCTTTAGACAAATATCAGTATTATAATATACTATATTATGAGATATCTTTGTAGATACAATCAAGCTTGCAAAATTGATTAACTTTGTGATCATAAAAAAAGATCTTCCAGTTGTAGAATTGCATTAGAGAGGAGATTTGCGATAAGTGGATGTGATGCCGTTATAAACGCGCTGCCCTGTATTAATACACCCGCAAACACTCGGCCCCACGGTGACCCAAAGTTGATTGAATGTGTCATGGCCGGCAAATTGTTTAATTTTAAGCATTTGTTTGCGTTTGCGTTTACGTTTTCTTTCTTTTTTTACGTTTTCCTCGTTTTTTCTTTTTTTTTTCGCAAGACACTTGCGCTGGACTTTGCTACGACCGCTGTCTCACAGTCAATGTGTGTGCTTTCCCCGTCCCATTCGCTCCCACTTCACCTGCAGTCCACGTGCTGGCCACTCGCTCGCACACACCCAGCTGCAGTGTGGCAGACGCACACACACACACACACACACATAGCGGTTTGATAGAATGATTCACAATGGTGCACTCGCTCCCACTCGCATGGGGGGGAGAGCGCATTGGCCCACTGGCACTGGCGCCTACTCACTCGCACATTCGCATTAACAGTGAAGCCGCGCTTATAAGCTTCCAGCTGCGCTGGCGTCGCTTCAACGGTTCTTTTTCCATTTGGCTGTGAAGCAACGAAGAACGTTCTGCCGAGCGAAAAGAATTCTACAAAAAAAAAATCCGCGAATCGCTTAATTCACCAAGTGCAGCTGAAGAAAAGGTGGGAATAAGAACAGCAGCAGCAGCAACAGTGGCAGGCTTTCTAATTATAGATCCCATTGGTTTCTAAAAATAAACACACACTTAGTGGCTTGAAGAAGAGTGTCTCAACAAATAACGGCAAATCTACTCTCGCAACAACAGCAACAACAACAAGGACGAACAGAGCAAGCGCAGCAGCGGCAGCAGCTGAAATGAGAGCAGCGCAGCGGTGAAAGAAAAACGAGTGAGAGTGAGAGTGAGAGTGTGGAGCTAGAGTGTGAGAGCGAGAGCGAGAGCGTTGAGATCCCAGCAAAAGATAATCAACGGCTCTGCAAAGAAAAAACGGCAGCTTTACGTTCCAGCTTCCAGCGTTTAGCTTCCCAAAAGCATTTCCAATTCCAAGCCAGTCGCAACGTCGGGCGGAATACCGCTATTTAAGATCACGTCGTAGTCACTGTCACTGTCCACCGCCGCCACCTGCTCCTGCCCACCATACGTCACGCGATGCAACCACAAGTAACGGTTGTTGCAGCAGTAGAAAACGCAGCAGCAGCCACAGTCACAGCACCAACAGAAGCAGCAGCAGCAGCAGGAAACGCAGTAACAGCAGCAGCAGGAAGCGCAGTCGACGTTCGCCGCCAGCAATCGTTTATCGATAGCCAAAGGACTCCAATCGAGCTGTAATCGCGTTTTGCGTTTTTTTTTTTGTGCACGTATCAGTCAATTCAAAAAAAATATAAATAATTAACAATACCTAACCAAAAACCCTACCCAAAAAAATATAAGAAACTAGTATCCTTTAACCCACCAAAAAAAAAAGAAGAGAGAGAAACTTAACCCTTAAACGAAACCGCGTATTTTAAGTAGTTTTGTTTTGTTTTTCGTCAATTAATTGTGATTTTGAAACTGTGTGATTGCAAAAGAAAATCTGCAAATTAGCAACAAAAAAGAAAGTTCCTTAAGCAAGTGATAATCCGATAGAACTATATAGACGGAAACTGGAAAAAAAAAACGGGAGCGCACAAAACTAGATATATTTTAACTATACTACAGAAACTATATAAAGCTAAATATAGAAAAACACTATTATCGCTATATAATCCACAACACAAATATCAAAACGCCTTGATCCTGAGCACTTCGAGGACTTCAAGGAAAATCAAATATATATATCTATCTTCAAAAGCACGGAGAAAAACAGTATGCAAATGTAAGTATATCAATCGCAAGCTCTAAAATTTTAAATAAATATAATTTATAAGTATTTACGAAGAAAAATTAAGTATCATATGCAGCCCCTTAAAGTATACTCTTAGAAATATCAAGAATTACTCAAAAGACTCTAATAAAAGTTCATGGTAAGCAAATTGTCTTATCAGGTTTGTTTTTTTGTTTTTCAATTTAAAAAAAAAAAACAGAAAAGCAAAAGTTATAAACAAACATTGTGGAGGTCTTCCCCATAAACGAACCCTCAAAATACTATTAGTTACTAGAGTAAAGTCCTGCAAACTTCAAGGATCCAGATTACTATATCTCATAGTTAGAAACTCATAGTTAACTCAATCTTCAAGTCAATCAAGATATTAGTAAGTATCTTGTAACCAAAATCTGATAGACAGTGGTCTTTGAGTTATATAAATAGATCCCATTCCGATCCCCATGTGTATATATCACTTACAAGTCACAGTCAGCGAAAGTGGAAAAAACATTGAACCACATACTATATATAGAGTGTGGCTGGAAACCGAGTTCCTAAGGAGACAAGCGACTCATAAAGACAAACAAATAATAAAACAAAGCCACATGGGGCTCCGCCATCGACTTCTGAGATTGTGTCTGTCTGTGTATATAAAAAGAACTCATGTTCCAAATGATAAGAAGCGTGGAGCTCCAGCGGGTTTATTTTTAAACACATCTGAAGTTTATGTAAATATTTCCTGGGCCCCAGGCCCCAAGTCGCAGACGCAAACAAAAACAGAATCGAATGGCATCTGGGAATGAAAAATACAATAATATTTGATGCTGATAACAGAACGTCGCGTGTATGCAAGGCGGAAGAGATAGGTCCTACTAATGGGGATGGAGTTATTATCATCTAAATTTATAAGAAACTTCCATTCTTGGTAGCAAGTTCTCTTCATAGGTGATAGGTGCTGTAGGTCACCAAGCCCCAAGGTTTGCTTTTGTTTTGATAAAGACTTCTAATAATAGAAAATGAAAAGACTCAAGTTTAGTACTTGTAAATGAATACAAGGACCTTTGGTGTCCTTATTTCAGCTTCATAAATGAACAACTTATTGATTTCTAAGAGAAATTATAGCATTATAAGGGAGTAATAAGTTGTATGCCTGATATGATATGATGTTTATCTTAAATACCAGAAATATATTAAGTTCCTATATTGAGACATGAAAGAATCAAAAAAACTTCTAAGGGATCTTTGTGAAAGGATATTTTATCGATATCAATATCACGCTAAATATGATATCGAAAATATCGTAACCTTTCATAGATCCACATTTTAAATATTCAAAATATTACAATTCAAGTTAAACTAATGATTTTATCGAGCAGTATCTGAAAAATGTCATGTTATTTTATTTTATTATAATATTAATATACAGATATGAAATAAATCGATGGATTAATGTAATAGCTTCTTCCCTATTACATTTATCGATATATTTTTATTGCACATATATATATCAGAAATAAATAAAATAAAGTATTATGACATCTTTATATCACAACCTTAAAAAAGCGTTACAGTATTGATATATGGATATTGTTTTGCCTCAGAACAGATAAGATAAGATTAGAAAAAGCCAAAAAGAGTTAAGTTATAGTAAATATCTCAAGATCCCAATAATAATAAATAAAGATAATAAAGATTGCTTAAAACCTGGTATATAAACCCTGACTAATCCTTTCTGATCTCCCTCTATCTATCTAAATATTTTTAGATGATTCCCACGGTGCCAACGTCCAGACTCCTGCTCCTCCTGACCACCATTATTGCTATATTGGCTCTTATGGGTTCATGCTGGTTGCCCCAAGTGGATGCAGTCCCAGTGCCCAGTCCTAATGCTAGTGATGAGATACCACGACGCATATGCTCCACCACTTTGGGGGATTTCATTCAGCGGATGTGCAATGGCAAAACTCATTCCTACAGAGATCAATATCGTGAGTGTGATTGTTTATATATCATCGGGATCTAATTACTAATCATATTTCTTTGTTTTTATATCCAACAGCCGATAGCTTTGGGAAGCGCAGGAAGCGGGAGTCGCTTTCAATTGTCGATCGTTGCTGCAAGAATCCCTGCAATCATAGAGAGATATTGCAATTCTGTGCGCCATAGGAAATATATATATATATAAAGAGATATATATATATATATATATATAATATACATTGTTCAGATGGGGCCTTCATATAACTCCAACCATTCCACACCACACCACACGGGCTCAGTCATCATTCGTAAATCCCTAAGAGAAATAAAGCAAAAAGCCGTAGCAGCAGCAGTCTCCCATTAGATTTACACTAATTATATGTTATTAATTTAAACTATGCACTAACTCAATTCTGTACAATAAACATAAAAAGAAAACAAATATTAAAATGAGAGAAAACTATCGAAAACTAAAGTCGTACATTATGTATATGGAAAGGAAAAGGATATCAATTTCGTATGGATAATATCGTCAACTTTGATATATCGATAGTTTTGATTATAGAAAAATATCTGAATTAATTTAAAGAAGAAATGAATCTAATTTCGGCGCGCCTTTTGTATGGCAGCTATATGATATAGTAGTCTGATTTTCATAAAATTGTACACAAAATTCTAGATTAATATATAATGGCTATCTATCAAATTTGATGAAAATCAGTTGAAAACTGTATAAGTTATAAGTTTATTTTAAATTTTCGGATTGTTCCTATGGCAGCTATATATATCTTATATGTATATATGGATATAGTCCACCGATTCGCCATGCTTCGATATATATACTAGTAAAATTAGATAGAAGAAGAACTCCATAGTTTCATTGAAATAGCTTAAATTTGTTCCAAAACAAATCTCACACTTCTGTGCATATAATTCCCAACTTGTTCAAACATCCCCGGAACGAAGTGCCTTCTACCAGCTAGGTTTCGGACATGTGTTGTGTTACAAAAGTTGCAAGTCATTATTTATAAGTGTTCAAATTAAGTAAGTGATCATACATACATACATACTGATCATAGATACTTACTGATCATTGATACTTACTGATCATTGATACTTACTGGTCATACTTACTTACTGTTCAGAGTTAATTACTGATCATAGATACTTAGTGTTCAGAGTTAATTACTGCTCATAGTTACTCAGTGTTCAGAGTTAATTACTGCTCATAGTTACTCAGTGTTCAGAGTTACTTGCGCACATCTGCGCTTATAATTCCCAACTTGTTCAAACATCCCCGGAACGAAGTGGCTTCTACCAGCCAGGTCTCAGATATGTGTTGTGTTACAAAAGTTGCAAGTCATTGTTGATTAGTGTTCAAATTAAGTAAGTGAACATACATACATACTGGTCTTAGATACTTACTAGTCATAGATACTTACTAGTCATAGATACTTACTGGTATAGATAATTACTGATCATAGTTAATAATATTTATAGGTACTTACTGCTCAGAGTTAATTACTGATCATAGATACTTAGTGTTCAGAGTTACTTACTGATCATCGATACTTACTGGCACTAGATACTTACTAATCAGAGTTACTCACTGTTCAGAGTTACTTAATGTTCATTGATACTTACTGATCAGAGTTAATTACAGCTACTAACTGGTTATAGATACTTAATATTAGTTGATACTTATTGCTCATAGTTATTTACTGATCACATTTATTTACTGCTTATAGTTAATTACTGCTCATAGTTGATGATATTTTCTTCCTTTCCCTTGTATATTGATACATTCTAGTTTCTAGGTTTCTAAGTTAATATTAATGTAATCCAATTCTATTGAATGAGGCAATCAGAAGGAGCAAGGCTACTTGAGTTTCCAATTAGATGGGGCCTTGTAGTGGCTTTCACATTTTATTAACTTTGAAACTCTTTGGTCTCGGGGACCATTTCAATTTCCGCCTGGCGAGACAAACCCTCCTCGTTTTCTTGTAACCCCATTTCAGTAGATCCCTCCTCTCTCTATTTATATATATTTATATATATATATATTGTATACAAAGCGAAATCTATACGGAATGACACACAAGTTGAGTTTGGGTTTGGGTTTGGGTTTGGGTCACTTTGCCATACAATATGCATGGCCCAGCAGTCACCCCATTTAAATTGAAGTGCCGGGGGTAAAACTTTTCAAAAAGGACACTCAAACTGCTGCAGGAGGATGAGTAGGAAGAGGGTCACTTCACCAAAATGACTGCAAATTAGATTACAAACGCTGACGATGATGATTTTAATGATGGTGCAAATCAGCCATACACACACGAGTATCGTGTATCCCTTAACCCCATTTTTATACAACTAACCCTTTGGTTAACACACTACAAATCTCCAAGGAGATACGGCCTCTTGGCTTTGAAAGAAAAGATATTGAACCCCCTAAAATCTAGTATTCTCTGACCTTTAATACAAAATTTTTATCTGATTAGAAATATTACAACGATTATTATCCATTTTTTGGATTTACGGGCAGGCACTGGAGTCGAATTCATTTTGAAGAATGCTTTTTCATTGATGCAGCCAATGGATATTTCAAGGAAATTGCTAGGTTTTGCTCCGTTAAATCTTAGAATTTTCTTCGGCTTACATTGGAAATTTTGAATTTTGTACAAATTCAGTACCATTAAACCCATTGTTTACTGCTTGGTGCCTGATTTACGGACGGGAGCTTTGGAGAATATTCCACAGTAAATCTCATCAGATTTTTCTTGATCTTCGGTTTTCTTAAAAGCTTTTTGATCCTTCAATTTATGCGAATTGCGAATTGCATCTAGACCCACATCCTTGGCATTGGAAGGTAGTTTCTTCGGTTGTTCTAGGATAGCTTTGTTCTCGGTAAAGGCTTTCAAGGCATCAATGCTTGTTTTCTAAATAAGAATTTGAAATTTGGGAAAGATATTAAGGAGGCCTTGAGCAGAATGTTACACAAAAACAAAAGAAAATATTTGAAAATCGAATGAAATTCAGGAAATATTGAGACCGCTTTGCTTTAGTAAGTGGTTTCCCCTATGCTTTGCCTGCACTGCACAAGCAGAGCGCGAGCTACAGCTTGCAAGTGTGGGAGAGGAACCGAAAGGACATTCGGCCGAATTAACAACCAATTCGTTCGGTTTTATCCTTCTCTCTTGGGACCAGAACCGAAACAACTTTCCAACGAAAGATTGTATAAACACTTACACGTAGAGAGTACAATGCAATACCAGCAATATCTCTAATCCTTGGAAAGCACCCAGCCATCCTAAGATCTTATTCTTTGCCATGATTTTAGGAATTTTTCGATGAAATTTAGAAATTTTACTTTTACAAAATAATATTTAATAATATCAAAAGAAAGTATTTAGTATTTTGCTATGTTGTTTTCCTTAGCTAGACACGATTGATACTGAACTAGGAACTACAAGGCAGGGCTATACGTCGTTGACAGTTCCGATTTTGTTCGTTTCAAGGATTACTAGATTGTAGAAAAATTTTAACAAAGAAAATGAGATATTGAATTGAGTTTTGTATAGGGTTTTTAATGGCCAAATGAAAGACAACTGCCTGAATATTTAAGGGCTAATAATATTCAAAGAATTCTGTTTGTCCATTGATGTATTCCATAAGGACAGATATTTGATACTTGGAACTTGAAACAACGGATACTTGGCAAACTTCAAGGGATCAATATGCGACAACTGGCAAAGGACGACAACGTCTCCTGCTCCTCCCCCCAAAGGACACTCAACGGACACGTGTGTGGCAGAGGAGAAGGTGGAGAAGGATGGTGGGTGACAACGTCTGGACCCTCCTCCCCCACCAAACGGAAAAGGGGACATGGCAAGGACGAAGGAAAGAAGGACAAAAACGACACCAGACAAACTTCGCCAGCTTTCGGTTTGGAGTTTCCGGGTTCACCATTGCCGCCATTCCACATTTCCATCCCCCTTCCAGTTGCCATTTCCCATTCCCCCCATTCTCCTTCCATTTTCCACCCTCCTTTCCCTCCTCCCATCAGCAGGACATTGATGGAGCGAAGCCATGGAACATTAGCTAAATCTTACAGAAAATTTCGCACTACATAGAGGGAGTTGAAGCTTACTATTAAACCAGGGAAACTCCATCCACCGGGGTTCATGGGGTTGCAACAGTCTTTACAGAGACGAAAACATTATCTATAAATGCTGATAAATATATACTGTATATATCATACATTTATTATAAATAATTAATAGTTTGTTTACTAAAAAGTTTAGTTGAAAATCAGGAATCTAAAGGTTTGATATTATATTATGATATGTAACCCATTAGATCTATCGTATAAACTGATTTAATTTATAATTTTTAAACGAAGAAGGTTTTGTTTTTCTGGGAAAAACATTATTCCTTGATGGTTTTAACCACATACCAAAGTTCAGATCAATCGTACAACTTTTTAGGATCGTAAAACGCAGAAGTATTCAGATATGTTATGATATGTATAATATTTTTATAAATAAATATAGTATATTCTTGGGATGAACATATAGCGAGAGAAAAAATCAAGTATGATTTATTGCACTCAATATAATTTCGAAAATAAATTAAACGTTGATATATCAAAATTGTAGATATCAAACAATTTCGTATTTAACTTTAAGAATATCAAATTTTTTTTTTAAATATCATAAAATTGTTTTGTAATCTATTTAACTGATTTTATGATATAAAAACAAGAAAGGAAACTAACTTCAGGGAGACGAATTAAAGTTTGCAATTGAATTATAGAATTAATTATGAAATCCCTAATTTTAAAATATTCGCAATCTATAATATAATATTTGCAAGATTCTTGAAATTGAAATTTTTATTTGATAAGTTTTTTAATATTTTTGGGACAAACAAAGTTTAAAAATCGCATAACTTTGTCAAAAATGCCTTATATATATATATATATATTAAAAAATCTGATTTTTTTCGATTTTTGAAATTTTTTACGATGTAACCCTTATAATATATTGAAAAAAATTATGAAAAAAATTTTCATTAAAATATTGCTAGATCGAGTCGGCTGTTGATGCTGATGAAGAATATACATGATTTACAGGGTCGGAAATGACTCCTTCACTTTGTTTCAAGCTTGTTACTAAAATTATAATACCTTGCAGGGTAAATATATTACTATTTTTTAGATATACAATTTTAATTATTATATTTCCCTTGAAGCACTATCATATCTAAAATTTCTCTCTGTGGAACTGCTTTTGTTGTTCTGTCAACACAGAGAAGTCGTACAAGGACTCTTCGGTTCAGTTCAACCCCGAAGGAGATCCCAAAACGGAAAAGTACAGGAAAATCCCAGTCATCCCAGGCAAAAGTGACGAGCCTTGGTTTTGGCTCAAGGAATCTCTCCTGTTTGCTGGGACCCAGGAATGTAATGAACCACAAAAAAAGGGGAAATTCATCAGAACTTAATATGCCCCACGAAAATGCACAAAATAAACAACAAACAAACAATTTAAATTAAAGCCAAAAAAAAGAACAAAACGCATGAATTTATTTCGAATTTGTTATTTTTGGTTGAGGTGGAAGGACTTCTGTGACATCCTTCACTCATCCCCCTCATCAACTACTCCTGCTCCTGCGACATCATAAAGTTCCAGGGGATGCAGACAATGCCATCTGTGGGCACTGACCAATAATTGGTGATGTGAAGACTTAGACCGCGACAGGATTTAACACCACTTTTGAGCAAATGCTCCAGGGCCTTAACCATCTTGTCCGGTGTCACCGAATCGTCCTTGCTGAGTCGCTGCAAACCGAGCTCATCCTGACACTGACGCCACAATTTACGCTCCACCTCCATGTCCTGGCGATAGCGACTCACCCGAACACTGGCCACGTCCAGATTGCGGCAAATGAAAGCCACCAGATCGGGACCCGGACAGGAGGCAGGTGCCAAAAACAGACCCGTCTGGCTAACCTTCGGCGTATCACTGTCATCGGGCATGACCACCAATTGATGATCCTGCAGAGTGGCCGGCAACTGACGGACACTCTCCTCCAGCTTCAGATGCTCACTAACCGCACGGATCACACGTCTCAGACTATCGGCATAGGCACGGGCCTCGCATCCCGGCACCGGAGCACGACGTCGTTGTATTTTAATGCCCAAAAGGACGGCGGACAGGGCCTTCTCGTAGAGCGGCACCAGACGCAGTTGCTCCTCATGCAGCCGCATCTGCTTCGAGAGGAACGCCAACCAACTGGCAGGGGCATCGCCCGAAAAGAGCATCACATCACCCTCCAGACTGATGCCCGTGTAGGGGGCAAAGACCACAAACCGATTGGCCAGGACACGTAATTGTGCTGCCACCTCGGGATCCTGTAGCACCAGATCCTTGAGACTCTGGAGACAATCATGATACCGCTCCATATTCCAACCGCAGTCATAACGTGTCCCACGAATCCCAAGACTTTCCACCAGCGAACGCTCTAGTTCATCGATCTTGGCCCGTAGAGCTGTGACCTCCTCGGCCTGTGCCCTGGCCAAAGCCTGACGCATCCAGGTGTCCAGTGAGTGATCCTCTTTCTTGGGTGGATCCCGCAGGAGCTCATTTAGGGTGCTACCCAAATCACTTGGTTTCTGAATTCCCTGCCTCTGGGGAGGTCTCACTCGTTCCCTTTCCGTCTTATGGAGCTCCTGACGTCGCAGTACCTTCTCCAGCTCATTCACAGCCTTTGTATCCTGCTTAAAGGGTTTCTTTTGCTGCAGCTCCTCCGCTTCATCCTCATCCTCCTCCTGGAGTTCCTGATTATCATCCATATTCTGATCCTTGGGCAGCAACTTGCATGATCGCAGTATGTTCTTGATCACCGCTCTGGGGTCCAAGAGACTTCGATCGACTTGAATTCGAACCAAACGACTTGCGATTTGATCACCTTGATCATCATCCATGGTTGACTCCCTCTCTGGCATGGAGTACATGTAAAATTTCAATTGGCCATCGGCGGGCAGGCAGCTATCCTTGGACTGTCCACTCAAGGACTCCAAATGGGAGCTAAGCTGACGCAGCGATTTCTCATTAAGACTCTTCTCCTCCGCCGGCATTTGATCAGCCAGACGGGACTTGGCTTAATGGCCAAATAAAAGGGACGAAGTGCGGCCATCAGATCATTGCTCAGCATACGGGCATAGCAGGTGGCCATAAGGTAGCGGCCAGGATGTCGCAGGAGAACGCTAAGTGAGGCCATCTTTAGCCTGCGTAGCCAGAAAAGGTTAATTTTGGAAATTTAAAAAAAACCGCTCGGTTAGCTCGTCTTATCAAGGAGCTAAAAAATTTTACAATGAGTTTGCTGAGAGAACCCTGAACATGACAGTTAAACGAACGAGTAAGCGATGAGAAAAACAACGAGTAACAAGCGAAGCAACGAGTAATAAAGCGAGTGAACCAGAGGAAAATATCAAGTAAAGACGACGAGAATAAAAGTGAAAGGAGTAATAACAACGATAATGATATTAAAAATAGTATAAGAATGTAAACTAAATGACTACGACGAGTACTTCAAGTACAAAATATTCTAAACAGATTATTAAAACGCCTTGAAAGCGAGTACACATTAGAGGACCCTTCAATTAGGGGTTAATTTGATTCTCCTTTTAATCATCGAAATCCATCAAGACCAATAAATCTTATAAACTCATAATAGAGTTAAATTAAGCGTGGGGTACATTCACCATGTTATATAAGACAGACAGTTTGAATTGAGTTTTATACTAATAAGAATAGCAAACTTTGCAAATAGTTTTATTTGAAAACCTTTAAAAATGAGAACTAAGCTGAGCAGAAAAGGGTAAACAAAAGGACGGGAAAGGCTAGATCTACTGGGCTGTTGATGTTCCTAATCAAGAATATTATAAAACCGTTTACAAGGTAATAATAGTAGTAAAGGTATATTATTAAACCCTCTTTAAGGCAAAGAATAATAGTGAAATAGTTGCTATAGCAAAGAATTCCAATAGTAATTAAGTTTTCCCCTAGTTTATCCTGCTCCAACCAGGCATTCCCACAAATATATTTAATCCCTTAGATATCCAATGTCCATAAATTAGTTCACTTAAAAACCTCTCCTTGAAGTTCTTTGCCCTCCGACGAGGAGTTTGCTCTCAGAATCGAGATCGTTGCCCCCCTTTTTATTTATTTGTATATATATTTTTTGTTTTGGGGACAAGCTAAGCAAGCGGGGTCAAGGCGAAGCGGGTTCAGTCTACAGGGTCAACGGGGTTATATGGAGACCACGTCCTGACCACGCCGCGGCTTTTCCGTTGATAAAAGAAAAGTGCGTGAGTTGGGCTTCTTATATTTGTTGTTCTTGTTTTCCTTTCTTTTTTTTTTGTGGAAAGTTTTGGTATTTATTTTCCATCGAGCAGGAGCAGATGCTGCCGTTCGATGCTCTTTGTGTCAGCGGAAAGAGCAGCACGAACTCTTCGGTGCGGCTTCGTGTATCTTTGTATCTTTGTATCTGTGTATCTCTTAGTGTGCCGGCTGACCGGCTTTTGTCGGTATGTATCTCGTCCTGCTCGGGAACCTGCCCCTTGACTGTCTGTCTGTGTCTATAGGGGCGTCCTGTGCACGAGAGCCATTCACCACAATCCCCGCATCCCTAAGCCTGCGTATCCGTATCTAAGTATCTGCGTATCTGCGTATCTGCGTATCTACGTATCTGTATCTTTCCCCCTTTCTATATGTATTGAATTTATAACAATTCGATTTATGTGTGGGTTATGCGTTCGGTGTCCTTTTAACATGTTATTAAAGGTCCTTGCGCAATTAAATGCCAAAGCTTGGTCAATCGTGTAATTTGAAGAGCAATCTGGAACAGTTTGTTTATTTTAATTTAAAGTTCAGAAAAATGCATAAATGTAACTCAATAAGCTTGACATCCATTCTGCATTTAAATACTAATATTTACAACACACCCTCTATTTGATTTACTAATTTATTTATTAAACCGAAGCTCCCGTCCAGTTCCAGTGCTCATAAAACAATTAATTTCTATTAAAAATTTACCTGGTGCCCCAAGGCAAATAAGTTTTCCTCCCCCTACCCCCCAAAAAAAGGCACCAAAGTTATAAAGAAAATTCGAGTTCCAGGAAAGTTCAAAGTTCGCGTTATGGGATAACATTTTGTGTGAAGTTTCTTTGGTCGCTAATGCCACTCAATTATGTTCAAGTTACTCAAAGATTTCAGTTTAGGGAAGTGCGAGTTTCAAAACTTCGACGGGGTAAATACGAAAATATAAAAAAATAATAGAATAAAAAGGCAAAAGAGCCAAGTACAAGAAAACAAAATGAAAAGGTAGTAAAATCGAGAAGGAAATAGGGTACAGACGCACTGACGCACACCTGTCCTTTTTGTATGTCTCTACTCTGATTCCCCTTACTTTTTCCCCGGTTTTTCTCAAACTCTTAAAAGAAAAGGATCTAGGAGAAATAGATACAAAAATTGCACTAGCCATTATAGGAAAATTATTATATTTTAAGTTAAAAGCTAGTGTTGAGTTGTTATTAAAGTGAATGAATCTGAAGAGTTGTTCACCAAACTCACCAAATGAACATGTTGCAAACAAGTTCACTTTATAGAAACAATAAAATGATGAACAAGTAAACATTTTTATCCCATTGAGCCGTATTTAAGAAACCCATTTTCCACTGCTCTTGGTTTATACCCTCTTTTTTACGATTTTTAACATTTAACTAGCAAAAATAATCAATTATCTGACCTGTACACAATGTGTGTCCTCCTTTCGAGTGGGTGTGCGTGCACACGCATGTCCTGTATGCTGTGTCCCTTGTCCTGTGTCCTGGAGAGTGGGCGTGTCACTGATAAGACGCTCGCCCAGTTCCTTTAACAGTCCCAGGGGAAAAGTTGAGGTTTCAAACGGATGAATGATGATGCCTGTATGACGATAAGAAACGCACAAGCAATCCGAGCCTGAAGGGACCAAAAAAAATACAAGTAAAATAAAAGAAAAACATTATGGTCAGCCATATGGTGAAAAGTGGGAAAGGAAAATGATGGGGAGCTTCGGTTTATCACAGTTTTTCACTTCCGGAAGTCTCGTTTTATTTTTTTTCTAATACCAAGGCATTAGGAATGAAGTCATGAACTGAAATAAACCAAATATGTTTGTATTTAATAAATTGTACAGTTTTTTTAGAACTTTGATAACTTTCTTCGATATCCTTTCGATAACAAATTCATTCATTTCGATTTCTATGAACTTTTCCAAGGATTTTCTTATGAGTTTCCACAAAAAAACCCCATGGAGAGTAATAATTCCCTCCCCCCTGGGACAAAGGAAAATAATTAGAGGGGCTCTTAGCATTGTAACCCCGCACCCCTCAAAAGAATTGTGTTTACACTTACCAAATACCAAATTCCGGCTCCAGCTCCACATGAACATCGCTCGGGATATGTTCCTCCGACCCGCCAGACGGATAAGTAAACAAATTCAGCTTTATCTTCAATAAGAACAAGGAACAACAGAGAGAGAGAGAGAGAGAGAGAGAGAGAGAGGGAGAGTTCCCCCGTTGAGGTTCGCTTTGATATTTAACAATCTTTGAACAGCTGAAAGATGAGAACAAAAAAATAACACCAGCATCGCACAAACACAAACATACACACATACACTTACACTTACCTACTTCACCCATTCCACTTTTCTCCTTCCCCCCTTCTCCTCATTCGAATGTAATGTTTGCAGACAAAGGCCAACAAGTTGCCATGGGAGTTGCCACCAAAAAAATCTTTCCTTCGCACTCACAACAACAACAACAGCAACACAGACCTAGAGGAGAGAGAAAAAAATGAGAGCAACATGAAGAGAAGCGCAACAAGGAGCCAAAAGAAACGGTTATAAAAACAACAACAACAGTAACGGAGCACGGACACCAAGCAGCGGCACAAGAACTACAGTGGAGACTAAGGCCAGAAGAATGCAGTATATATTGGGGTTTTATTAAACTTTTAATAAATTATTATTTAGCTCGGAGAGTAATTTTAAAACTCTACCAAGCTTGGGATATTTATTTCTATAAAATGCACTAATTAACACAAGCAACATACCCTTTAGGCTAGTCTTCACTGTATGCAGAAGCACCAGACGAATGCGAAAAAGGAGCGCGAATAATACGGTAACTAGCAGCGCTCTCGCTTAAGTATACACACACACGCATCATGGCGACAAGGCAAATCCTAATAATCTTTTAGTTTTCACAAAGATAAAGGCCCTTTAGGCTAGTCTTCACTGTATGCGGAAACACCAGGAGAACGCTAGAAGGAGCGCGGAGAACTGGACACCAAAAAAATTGACATGGCGACACGGCTAATCCTAATAATCTTTTAGTTTTAACAAAGATAAAAAAAAACTAAACTTACCCGCTCCACGTTCCGATGCTGATTGATTCCACGAATGTGAAAAATTGGTGGAGGTGGAGGTGGAGGTGACAGTGGTGGTGGTGAAGGTGGTGTTGGAGGTGGAATTGGAGGTGGAGGTGTAGTAATATGCAAACTGGGCACAAACGAAATCGGGATTAAAAGGGATGCACACTCTCGCACGTACGCCACGCAAAGACAGACGACACAGTCCGCCATGACATCTTTACCGCTGATGCCCGCTGCTCTTCTTCTTCAGGTAATTCGCTTTACTTTCCTCCTTTTTTTGGTTCTTTTCCTCCTCCCCCTGCTCCTCCTGCTCCTTTTCCTCTAGTGCCTCGTTCTACTCCTTGTCCCCTTGTTGTTGTTGTATATAAAATAGATGAAAATCAATTTGACGTGTCTTGAATTCTGTTTTAGGTTTAAAGAACTCGTTTTACAAAAGATAAAAACGGCAAGCGGAGCAGCCAAAAAGGGAAGGAGGAAGAGGAGCACACAGGCGAAAACGTTTGGAAAGGAGGACGATCGGAGGAGGGTGGAGGTGGCACAGGAATGGAAATAAACTCGAATTGTGTACACGCAAGCTACAAAACGAAGTGTGTGTGGAGAGAAAAACCTACATAATGCTGTAAAATTCTGTTAAACAAACACACACACACACACGCGCGCGTTAACGAGAGCCTGGAACTTATCGAATTTGTCGCTACCATCAGAGTTTAAGGGTGGCAATAATTACATCAATCTTTTTACCATTTCAATTTCAAAACAAATCGAGCCACTCGACCAGCAGCAACAACAACAACAGCCACAAGCAGAGTGTGGGGAGCGAGACAGAGAGAGGTGAAGAGAACACGACCCCCCAGGGCAACCAAAAAAAAATAAAGAAGAAAAGAAGAGAAGAAAAAAAGTACATGCAGCCACAAAAGGAGGCGACAGAGAGCGATGGAAAGAGAGGAGGGGAAGAGCATGAACCGCGTGAACGGAGCTAGGAGCAGGAGGGAAAAGCCAAACAACTGAAACTCGGAACGGAACGAGCAAAGAAATGGGGCGAGAGCCGATTGAATGGTAAAATGCAGGCAAGGAAGTAGAGGAAGAAGCAGAAGGGCCATGGAATAAATGTGTATTTAAAACGGATTTGTCGCCGGCTTCCCAAAAAAAAAGAAAAACAGAAAGAAAACAATAACAATAACACATGCATCCCATAAATCGGAAATCAGGAATCTGAATTCTGGATCATTAAATCTGCATACGCCCATGACAAAATACAATTCCTGTACATTTGAAATGTAAACTAAATGCATATCTTAAATGGATTTAATTAATTTTCTGGAAACCTAAATAATCGGATAAAAATACCTCAAATTGTTAAACGGAAAAGTGAAGTTTCGGAGTAAATTTATGCATGGATTTAAAACAAAAACAATCTCAAGACGTGGAATCCACGAAATTTTGGGTGAGTACTTTTTCTATACATTTCCATATATTTTGAAGTTACACATTCTTTATATTATATATTTTATATATTATATATCTTGTATATTATATATTTCTTGATATATTTATATTTTTGATGTATATTATAATTTTCTATATGTTATTTTGTGAAAACAATTGCTATTAATTTAAATTGTTGCTTAAATTCTTATAAACCCATAATCTAAAGATCAATTTGTCCCATCTCGGGTTTTTTGAGAATTTCTCTGTCGTACTCTGCTCCTAAAAGCACTTTATAAAGTTTATACCCTATTATACAATGTTAAATATAATAATAAATCTGATAGAATTTTCCGTGGCTTAAAGATACAGATAAAATTTCCTGTTATTTAAAAAGTATCATTAATAACTCCTGACCATAATAATTTATTGGGATACCATTTTAGGGCATTATAATTTTAGTCAGAAGCTTAAAAAATAGTGAAAAAGTCATTTCCGACCCTATAAATCATATATATTCTTGATCAGAATTAACAGGCGAATCTTTCTGGCCATCTCAGGAAGAACATAAATTTTTTGAACTTTTTGAAAATTTTATAAGGGGTTACATCGTTAAAATTTTCCAAAAATTGAAAAATTTTAATTTATTTTTAATTTTAAATGGAGTATGCAGATTTATTAATCTAATAAAAACAAATATAGGGCAGCTTTCCGAATTAAATTAATGCTTTTTTGGCTATGTTATGAGTTTTTGAAATTTTGATTTATCGAAAAAAAGCCATATAAAAATATCTATAAATATTGATTCAAGTATAAGAATATTTGAACCTTAGTTATGATTAATTTCCGTTTCTATCCTATAACTTAATTATAAGTGCTGGCTTCCGGAAGTTACTTTCCTTTCTTGCCAAATTGTCTTTATAGGAAAGTGGCAAGTAGATCCTTTGTTTTAGTTAAAGAAAAATATACATCTTGATATAGGTACTTTGATAATGAGTAATATGATTGTAAATAAATGTTTCACAGTTCACTGAACGTAGTCCTTCACAGCCCCCATTGAGATATATAAGTTGAGAATATTAATATGTTACAAAGCCGAACAAGGAGTGTGAATAATGAAAAAATACAATAACAAAAAAACATCCCACAAAATAGCAACCACTGAACTGGTTTTACATTACAGCCCAGTCGAGTTCAGCCTCCTAGGAATACCTCTTCCCAGCATGTCAGGGATTGTTTAAGGGCTCGAGGGTGTTCCCAAAAGCCTCTCTCTAGAGACACTAAAATATAAAAAAAGCGGTCCGAAATTGGCATTCAAATTTCATATTTTAAAAGAGCTATGAACAAATTATGGTTCTTTGTGTTTTCTATTTAAAATGGTTTACAAATGTGTATAATAAGTATAGGAGAAAATTATAATTATAGAGTTAAGGGAATTTAAGCACTTCCTATGAAATTATTTGTATTTTTTATCCAAAGGAAGTACTTATTTGATAAAGAAATAATCTAGATGTTGTATAACCCTAAACTAAATACTTTCCCTAATAGGGTTTAGAGCACTTAACCTAGTTTATCGATATCATGTAACTGGGTTAAAAAGTATCATAAGCTCTCATCGATTAACCCTTCTCAACTGATTAATCATAGACCATTAAGCAATATAGATTCATTCATTCATTTATAAGTACCAATGACTCATCGCAGTAATTAAACTGATTCCAGTCACACAAACTACATTCATTTGGCATTCACTCTATTTGAAATCCAAGTGCTAATCGCATTTCCGGTATCGATTCAGAATCGTTTATCGATGACACAAATGACATCTAATCGAATCAATTTGCCACATAACCCAGATATTCCCGCAATGCCGTATTCCGACATAGCATCATCTCATCTCATCATCTCTCAAAAGGCACCTAGTCGAAAGGGAGTTTTCCTGTTTTTCCTCCACTTTTCCACTCACAAATACACACACAGAGGCAAACTCGTACTCGGTGCTGACGACAATGCCCCCGAAGGTAATGGTAATGGAAATGAAAGCGACGGGAGACGATGACGTCCACCGCCACCGCCTGTCAGTCAAATAGAAAAGAAAAAAAAAATATAACAAGGAAAATAGAACCAGGGAAATCCAAAAATCCGGGGAAAAAGAGGGAGGTTTCCCTCTGTGTGTTCTCTCTGTTGCAGTCAAGGAACATCGTCAGCCACCGAGCAAAACCTCATCATAATCATCGTCATCACCCTGACAAAAACAAAAAAAAAACACAAAACACTTTGAAGAACTCTGGGAATACAACGTGTGTACATATATGATATACATATATGATATATATTGCGGAAAGAAGCTGTTCCGTGTCTCTATTTGAACACCTGGACCTCTAGAGATTACCAAATAAGACCTAAAGCAATCACAATCCAAACGGGTGACTTCTTGAGAATGGACACGTGTCAAAAGTTTACATTTGCCAAACCGATGTAAATTAATCAAGAAAAAGCCTTTCACATACATATATTCTTCGTTTTTAAAAACAAAAGATTTATATGTACGTATAAATATATTCCCCCCATTTAATATAATACACATGTGCTATAGAACAATGCAATATAAAGTCATTGCTGTTGGCAAGTGAAATCTTGAATAATACAATTATTCAGGTTGACTTAATTATTCATTATTATTATTATTGTTTAACATATTTCAACCCCCGCCAAGTAATCCAACAAACAAGGCCATATCAGCGTAATGGTTAAAGCCCTTTTAACTGTAAAAATAATCTTTGAGAACGTTTGGGGTTGAAATTCATTAAGGCATAATCTTCTCACCTTGATTTCGACCACAGGAAATCAATTAAAATATGCAAAATATTAGTATTTGTTAGTTGGAGGAGTTGATTTGCCTTAAATGGACTATAATTCACTATAATTCCCAAGGGGTTTTAGCACAACCTATGGAAACTAATGATTAAAGGTTGTCTATCTCACTTAACCAATTATTATCTTTATTGGTACTATTTGGAAGATTTGTTTTATTATTTTATATTCTTTAAAGACCTCAAGATTAAGCTCATGATATTTATATACAAAATAACCCCTTCTGTACACAGAAAGCAACAGATATTAACCCCTCTGTTTGCTCTCAGGCCAACCCAAATTTAATTTTGCCTTAAAAAAGTGTCCGCAAACATATTGGTTACCACTTCTATTAGATCAATTAAAATGCTTTCAAACAATCGCCAGAGCCAGAGCCATAGCCTATGGATATATACATACAATATATATAAATATATATGTATATATGTAGAGTATGGAACCCGTACAACGAGACGCACTTAAACTAATTAAGCCCGTGATTGCCAGGCAACCAGAAAGCGAAATAAAAAAAAGGAAAACGCGTGCTATGGAAAGCGAGTTCGAGGAGTACCAACAGGGAGTACCGTGTTTAAAGTACATCTAAAGGTACAGGGTGTAATGGTTGCGAAGGTGAGTTCGAGGAGTACCAACAGGGAGTACCGTGTTTAGAGGTACATCTAACTGCATAATACAGGGTGTAATGGTGGTGAAGGATTCGAATGTAAACGATTTTGCGGCCTGATGCATTAAAATCCATCAGTGGATGGAAAATAGCAACCATTCTGGCTTTAGACGCTAAACTTTAAATACTCTTTTTTGAAAGAAACCTAAATATTCGGCTTAAACTATATATTCTTTCGATTCCGCTTCCAAAAATTAACTTTCTCTTGTAAAACGCCTTGAAAAGTCCTTGATCTCTGTAACTTAAGACTGTTGTTGTTGTTGCATTTCTTGTACATTGCAGGCAAAGCGAGAGAGAGCTGTTTTTATATTTAAAATTTAAAGTAAAGCTCATATGATCAGAATGTTTATTCCTTTAATTAAACCTCTTTCCTTCATTTAAAGAAATGCACTTTCTTCCTATGGAAGAGTATCAAATTTTCGTACCTATGGATGATGGGAATTTCCCTGTGCGGTTTCCCTGCCCTTTTTTCCACTTCCACTGATTCTCCCCGTTATCCTCCTCTCGTTTCTCTCATGTTCTCACTCAGCGGGGGTCGCTTGCATTCGAATTGTCGAAAAAGAGACAGAGAGAGAGAGTGAGCGAGAGGGGTTTGTTTGCCGTCCAAGTGGATTTATGTCCATGCGGACTTTTCCCCCCTCAGTTTGCCCTTCTGAGTGTGTGTGTGTGTGTGTTTTTAAGGGGGTGAGTGGAGGGGATGGAGAGTGGGGAGTGGGGAGAAATGCTCCAGTGGGTGGTGGTGGTGGCTTTGCTACGCCTCATTTTGGCCTGATGATGCGTTGGAGTGCGAAGAATCAACACATTCTCCGTTTGCGACGTAATTACTTCTCGGTCAAATATCCTTTCCCCCTACCACCTCTCCCAAAAAAATGAAATACGCAGTTTTCCTAAGATTTGACGTTGCAAAATTGTTAATATTTTCCTAAACTATACAAATTATTCAACATTTAGTAGTTTTTACACCTCCCTCTTAGGCAATTTATAAGTTATCCCTTGAGGAACTATGATTTTTTGGGTAAATTGCTTTCATTTTTCGTGGGAAAACTCTGAGCATTTAAAGTGTTCTTTGTGTGATTTTCAATTAACAAATCACACACAGAGAAAATGATTTCATCAAAAAAATAACAAGAAAAAAAGAAGGCGATAAGGCAAGCGTGGAATCAAAATGCGTTTTTCACTTTAATTGCTTTTCGAGGAGAGAGAGCGCAACGGGAGGGGAGGGCAAGCGAAGAGAGCAACCCCAATGACATTTTTTTTTCTTGCTTTCGTTGTTTTCCTTTTAGTGGGAGAGAGAGGCTGCGGTAGCAGCTGTATGAATTTTTAACAGCTGATGTGATACCGAAATTTATGATGACGTCGAGCACAAACCAACTCACACTCGCACACACAGCGTTCGTAAACAATCTCTTTGGTCCCGCTCTTTGGACTCTCTTAGCGCGCGCTCTCTTTGCTGCTCCCGCTCTTGCTCACGATCTGCCTGGCAC